ACTGGGAACACAGATGTCCCGCAGTTCATTTTCCATCTCCAGGCTCATCGGTGGGTCTGAAAAATAAAACACAAGGCAACTGTTGCTGCACAGTGTCAACTCACAAGGAACATGAGGAAAGGCAACATGTGGTGCCAACAAGTTATTGCCTCCATTTCTCTTTCCAAGAAAATTGTTGCAAGTTAAGCCACAGCAATATAAAACAGTAGATAACTCGGTATCAAGGAAGGGAATTCTTGTGATGGACATGTTGCCCAAAGTGAGTGTGAGGAAATAGGGTGAGAGTCTAAAATTGCAGAAAAAAACGCAAAGGATTGGTTGATTCCTCGTGGAATCACTGAATCAACTTCCTGGACGCACATAGACCTCATAAATCTTAACCTCAGCAATTTTTTAAAAGGTTTATTGTTGGGCTTTGTATGCCTTTATTTAGATAGGACAGTGGATTGAGTCGAAATTGGAGAGATGGAGAGAGTGGGGCATGACATGCGGGAAAGGTGCCACAGGATGGATTTGAACCCGGGCCACCCGCTTCGAGGACTAAAGCCTCTGTACATGGGTCTTGAGTTCCATTTCACTAGAGTTAATAAAATATCTTCTTGGTCAATAAAAAAGCTAAGCTTCTAAAAATCAATTTGTTTCAGATGACAGATGAAAAAATAGAAACAATGAAACCATTTCTTTCCCTTTTTTTAAGCGGGTCATGCTCTTTTTTTATTATTGTTGATTCCTTTTAGTGCTTCTTAATTTCATCTTTTTAAGATTACAGTCGACATCTCTTCAGATTGAGATGTGCTTTGTTTTTATGGATTAAAAAATTGTAAATTAGTAGTTTAGAGTCTACCATGTCATCTGACGATATCGTAAACTGGATCTAAAACTCATATGACTCCATGACGTTCTTAATCCTGAAATACGATTGTTATGTGACGGTGCAACTGAAAACATTGAGCAAATGTCTTTATTTTGTTCTCGACCATTTGGATTCACACGGTGGACACTTCAAGAGTTGGGACAGATCATCTGATCCTGAGGTTAGGTGGAGAAGAATGTTAAAGTGCCAAAACAGTGTGCATCTAACCCCCATCTGTTGACCTGACCTACAGCATTTATTTGTTGATGTCTTAATTTTTTGTATACTTTTATGTATAGCCCCTGACAATCAATGAAACATTTTCTGAAATGTTTCTGATTTTTTGGGGGGGAAAGCAAACGGCCAAACATTCACCCCCATAGGAAATAGTGCCAAGAGGTTGAGCCAGTGTGTAAACACAGCAGGTAATATTAAAGGTAATTCACTGGGAGCTATTGGGTGATGATGTTAATATCACTAATTGTTGAGATGTTGTAGATCTTCATAGAAAGGAAATTTAAAAAAAGTGCTCACCCTCAGTAACTCATACGAGTGCTGAATCCTCAGCAAAATATATATATAGATATATATATATATATACACACCGCAGATCACACCTACCCATTAACCATTAAGAGCTTTCTATGTAAAGTGACTATCAGAAGTAACTAATACCATTCATACACATTCATGCGGGAGCAACTTGGGGTTAAGTTTCTTGCTCAAGAACACATCTGTCATGTAGTGGCAGGAGCTGGGGATCAAACCCAACAAAGAAAGAAAGAAAGAAATGTTCACATGTTAATTTCTCACCAGAAGCAGGAGAGATTCAAATGAAATCTTATCAATATAGTCTCTAAGAGATCTAATATTAGATTACAGTTAATAAGAATATGGTGTAAAGTTATACAAGTAAGTATCTCAATCATCTAGATGAAAAGGTAAAAGAGTTGTAGAGCTAACATGGATCTCTTTGAGCTGCTCTCTTAAACCCTTTTCACACATATGGAAATCTCCTGAAAAACTCTGGAGTGTTCCCGGAGGGTCTTTAGGTTATGTGTGAACGCAAACAGCCGCATTTTTCACGCAGACTTTACCCGGAGTTTCTCCGGCCAGACCCCTAGTATTTTTTTTGCAGAAAGTCAGAGTGAGCTGATGTCTTAACGTGGCAGCATAGACTCCGGAGATTTCAACTCCAGCCAATGGGAAGAGAATGACGTTTATATACTGCCTAAAGTGTCTGCATGCGACCACTACAATCTTTGTGCACGTAATTAAACGGCTGCATTATGTTTTCTGTTCGTCAGTATGTTGTTCTCCACTCTTTTGTGAATGTTGTCATTCTATTGGATTACACATAGCATTGATATAAAGGCAAATGTTCTCATTATAACGTTGTGTAGCGGACTCTGTTGCTTTGGCCGCTACTTCCGCGTTGTTTATTTACTTCAGGAAATCCCCCGAGCCCCCTCCCTGACAGGGATAGTCCCCCGCTGTGAGGAGCATATGTGAACGGCTAGGTCGGGAGAATCGCCAGAGCGGTCCTGCTGTAATTATCTAGATATTATCCGGAGGGCATATGTGAAAACGGCTTTACAGTTGCTAACAAACCTGCAGAAGGGAAGCAACACTTACCAAAGGGATTTTGCCCAAATGATACAGATCTGATTCATACTTTCCTCAGGCGTCCAAAATGCCTTTGAAAAATACCGGGCCCGCCATGGAGAACAATTAGCAACACTTAAACACTTGCTCATTGTTTACTGACTGCAGCTACGACCCTGTTTCTGCTGCTGCAGAAAGTGCTGTGTTTCTTACTCTGTCAAAGAATCCAAGAAACCTTTAGGCGAGCAAATACTTTTCCCCTGCTCATTTCCCTCCTGCGGTATTGGATGACACCAGGCCCAAACTTCAATAAATCATTTTTCTTTGTCTATTATGAGCACTTTATTACTTCTAAGCTCTTCCTCTGTCACTCCAAAACTGAGCTAGCAGTTATGTGATTAAATAAATTCTGTTAAATTCTTTAATATTCAAAACCTTGGATCAAAAGACCATGGTAAATTCAAAATGTCAGTGATATTTAGTGAATAACAGGGATGAGATAAATGGGTCTAGTTTCTAAAAGGCAAATATATCCAATAAAGCTCAAATTTGAGAGGACTTATACAGCCTCTATCAACTTTAAAATGATACACCACCCTGGCAGTACATTGTGTGTTTGTGTTAAATGATGGTAATATATTCAGTATATTGAAATTCTCTTTTTGAAAGTGAAAATAGTTCAGTCTCAGTGCTCTTCACTGAGATTTTATAAACTACTGGTTACTGTGTGGGCTGTATAACTTACAACATCTCTTAAATAAATTGTTCAGTGGGGGATTTAAGGAGTAAATGGACGTATTGATGCATCAACATTGTGTTTTCTATTAAGGGTTACTTGAGAGGATTTCTGTAGTAGCAGTAGTGAAGCTAAGGAAGTTTGTGGCTAGTTTAGCTCTATTACAAAATTAAGAATTTTAGAGGTGATGATCAAAATATTATTGCCTTTGGATAGAGCCAGGCTAGATGCCCCCCACTGTTCTCAGTCTTTTGATCAAACCAAGCAGGTCCAGAGGCAAAAAGTCTCCCAATACCTCTAAAAATGAGCTACAATTCATGACCAAATTACCACTATTACCTCTCTCAACTTACATGCTCCCTCGCTGCGTCTCCTTTAGCCTTTTCACCCGTGCAAAAAAACCTCATGAAAACTTTTTCCTGACCCCCAACATTTTCACAAAGCAGGGGTCTGAGCTGATGTGTAAACGCAGCAGGTAACTTTCAGGAACATGCTCATAAGGAAACTACTTTCCACTCTTTGTCCAATTACACATAGCACTGATATAAAGGCAACTCATTATAGTGTAGGACTCCATTCTTTTAATCACGTCTTAGATTTATAATAAACACAGCAGCATCTTTTCTTTTCTTTTTTTTTTACAAGACATCAAGTCTTGCCTCCTGAGACCCCTCCTCACAGTCCCTTGGACAGGAAAATTCTTCTGCTGTGAGGGACCTGTGTGAAAGAGCGACCAAGGGGGATTTCAGGGGCAGATTGTCCTGCGTTTTCGGGAGAGTATATGGGGAAAAGGGCGTTTTTTTCTTGCTTTCCTTTGGACCAGAGGAGTGCACCTATTTTTCAATTAGCCTCATCCCATCTTCTGATGTTTCTCATTCCATCAATTGCAATAACAATTTAACCGTATTATATGAACCTCCTGTTTTATTCGTGCCTTTCTTGTGTTGTTACACAGCCCTCTGTTTTATTTGTAGCTTGCCTGTTCTCTATTGCTGTCTGTTGGCACCATTGCAAATGAAGGTTCTCCCTCACTGTGTTTTTCCAGGATTTAAATGAATGAATAATTCAAAAACTACACTAAATATCCACCAAACACAAACAGCTCAACGCTTTGAAAGGTGAGGTCCAAAAATGAGTCCAACGCTATGATCCAACTTCTACAAATTGAATTGTTTAAGTTATCAACATCAGAAATAATTGATTGTATTCATTTCAATCTCGAATAGGCAAAGCGAACTAACAGTTTCCCATAATTTATAACACAAATAAATAAAGAAAAATCAGCCTAAAAGAACAAAAGAACATCATCGTAAATAACTTTTTATTTTTTACTATTTTTATATCCTGCTTTAGTGTACAGGTGAGAGGGTGGAGGATTTTCTATTATCAGTATGTCACGCTTTGCTCTACAATGTCTGGGACAAATCTGCAATCTGTGTCACAGCGGAAATCATGTGCGAAAACTACGAAAGGAGGCATCAGGACTGAAGAGACTTCTCAGAGAGCTTAGGGATGAAAGCGTTTACGCACCCTGAGACAGAGCGCGTGGTAGCCTACGTCTGTGTGTGTGTGCACGCGTGAGATGGGGTGTCGGGGAGAGTTGGGGAGTGAGGAAGAGGAAAGAGAGGATGCAGACGCTGTCTTTCTGCAGACTCTTCAGATAGAGCTCCGAGGAGGACAGATGGGGAAGAGCATGTCTCTATTTTTACGCACCGGCTTTGTTTCCACTTCCCACGCGCCTATTCCGCTGATTAAACCAAATCGATTAGTTTACAGCTAGTAGTAAGCGACGGAACTTCTTCTGAGTTGTCTTTCGATTAACCCGTTCTTCCCGGAAAAAAAACCCCCTAGGGATTACTCCGAGGCATTACACGCGAATTGATTTGAGCGCAGGAAACTGTCCGAGCCTGATTATGGATTTACCTGTCATCATTCTGCTCCTCCACCTGGCACTGACCGAGATCAAAGGTAAAGAAAAACGCAGGGATGAGAGGGCTGCACATTTATAAACTACAGAAAAAAAATATACCAAGGTTATTCCTTCAGCAAATTTGATATTTTAGAGTCCTTCCGTAATATTTCACAATAGTATAATATTCCCAGCTGGTTTTTCTTTTTATTCTCACTTTCTTTGCTTGGCTGTGGCTCAGTGGTATAGTGGGTCATCTCTCAATTGCAAGACTGACGGTTCATTCTCCAACTCCTGAGATCTTCATGTCATGTCAAATGTCCTTGAGCAATCACTGGGGGAATGTGCATGTGTGCGTGAAAGAAGTGTGAATGTGACGTGCAGATTAAAAGTGCTTAAAGGGGTCAAATCAGTAGAAACGCTTTATATAAGTGCAGTCCATTTACCATTTTCTGGTCATTCATTTTGAATTAATATATGGAAAGAGACAGTTCTGCAGAAAATTTGAATTGGTAGCACCTCTACTGTGTGCTGAGGGCTGTCGTGTATTAAAATCTCAGCTGGCTCTATATGGACAGGGAAACTATTTCTTAAAAACTGTTTCACACAAGTGCTATTTCTATTGGGAATTGTCTGCACTGCACTGCTCTCAGATGGAGGTGGAAAGGCATGAAATTGGCTGCAAAATTGTTCACCTCTGTATAACCACAGCTGTCACACAGGAATAAAAAGACATCCCTCAATAATTCAGAGATGATTTTTAAGATCCCAAATTAGGTGTAGTGTAAGGATTTTAAGGAGGTTGGTCCATTTGATCAATTCATGAAGGTTTACGTGACATGATACTGAGTTTTCTTTATTCACTGGTGAACTTTAAAATCTTTACCCACACGCTGCTCATGTGTTAAGGGGGAGTAAGGGACTTTGGGCACAGTGGGGGGGGGGGTCGAGCTTGTAAACATCACAACATTCGATATCCAGTTCTTTTCTTATGCCCACTCACACTTCCTCTAATGCCCACTCACACTTCCTCTAATGCCCACTCACACTTCCTCTAATGCCCACTCACACTTCCTCTAATGCCCACTCACACTTCCTCTAACTCCTAGTCGGTGACTCATCCTCACATGTCCTTTTGTGCCAAATGTTTTGGTGAGTGTATGAGGTGAACAGTAAGATACACACAAAGTGGTGAGGCCAACAGGAGAGATGTGCTTATTCATTAAGAAATGACTCGTGATCTAAAACAGATTAGGATTCTTCGAAAATTAACACTCCTCCTGTAACAAACACAGGAATCCATGATTATTATTTTTTTTGCTTTGTTTGGAGATGACACAATTTTTTTGTGTCTCTGTTTATAACTTTAATGTATTGCGTACTATTTAACAGTTGTTATGATCATCTAGCAAAAATAATGAAACAACATTTTAAAGATTCTAAATGAAAAATAAAAACTTCAAATGACAACTCTTAAGAAACATGAAGACCCGAAGCAAAAATAATCGAATGTTAAAAGGCAAACATTGAAGGTTACTCACATTAGTTTTGCTCTGCAGTGTGGGTACACTGCAGAGCAAAACTACACGTCAACATTTTGAAGAGCTCTAACAATGAATAAGGTCTTTTACCTCAAGGTTGACTGAGGGCGTCTGAGATACTGCAGAGTTCATATTAGTCTGAATAAGAGACAAAGCTATCAGTCACTAATGCACTAATGCACTTTCTGAGACTAAGAAGAATGACAATGAGGTATAGGGGCCTGAGTTGAATCTTTCCCACAGATATGGATCATGTATTCTGGCAGTGTAATCCTTGTCAGATTATACGAAATAGCACAAGGCGAGCAAATGATCCCTGAAGTCTCTCAGATAAAGTCCTTTTACATGTTACAGAGAGGGAGGAAACGTTCAATGTTGAGAGGTTCCAGTGCTGCAGAGACCGTGCAGCACAGATCAGGATCCACTCAACCATCAAACATTCATAGGTTTTTATATTTTTAAATTATTTAAATTATTTGGTTAAACTGGGGAGTTTTTTGGGGGGCATAAATATTAATACATGCTAAAAGATACTCACGTTGATATCACAACTGTCATTTAAAGATAGGATGTTGAATGAAACTACAAGAAAGGCTATAATTTACAATGCGATATCTTGATTTAATGATTATCATCATGAAGCAACAGTGATTTCTGAGGCTTGGTACAGAGTCCTCAGGTAAGAGAGAAAAAAAAACACAATTAATAAACAGAACCAGTTTTTAAGATTTTGATTTTGTGCCGTGCATCATCATAGATTGGTCACTGTTTGATCACAGCTGCAATGAGCACCCAGAAGTGTCTGAAGAGGTCCTTGGAGGCTTGCATGGTGTCCGTTTAGTTAATTTTTGGGGTTTCAAGAGTCCTTATGAGAAGGTTCTCTGCCTCAGAGAGAAGTCTTTTGTCACACTGAATCTGCTCCTTATGGGTGGGAAGACTCCATAAAGGCTGGCTCACTGACATTCAGTTTTTTCTTTATTATTGACCCACAGTGTAGGTGGAAGCTAAATAAGCAGATAGTCTTACTTAGTTTACCTTCGCAAGTGAAAGAGTCCTTTAAAGATGCACCACTTAACTTTCGGGGACATGTAATAATTGATTGAAGGGGACTAGTCAGTTTCTACTTGGTATTATGTATCACCACATAAAGCACAACTGCATTATGCAACTTTCACCTGATTACACAGGAAGATTCTGATTTTAGAGCAGCCGTGCAAGGTGACCACTAAAATACACATTCACAGACTCATTTCAAAACATGCTGAGTGGAGGAGCCGGTAATTTAAGCTGTGATTTTCTGATTAGTGTGTGACCTGCTCTTCTAAGTTACCGCTGCCTCATGGTTAAACAATATGTAGTCAATGAGTAGGTTCAGGTTTTATTCTGTTCATTGGCTGATTAAGAGTTAGCGAGGAAAGTCTGATGTCAGGTAATCACAACATAAATTCACAGACAATCATGAAATAATCACGGCTAGAGAAGTCTCTAATATATAGGATCTCACATGTCCGTTCTCCATTTAGAAGTTCTCAAAAGACACATTTATCAATTAGGAATGATTAGCTTCTTACTTATTTTCTTAACTTGGACCAATAAAACTTTAGCGAATTATTAGATGTAATTAAAGTGATAGTTCACTTGCAGTAAGACATCTTGTTCTCATTTGTTCCCTTGTAGTTATACTAAAAAATGTGTGTCCCTGAAAAAAAGACCACTTTCTATTACCTAGTGTGAAGGAAATGAATATCGTAATTTTCCTTGTAGCTCTCAAGTCCTTGTGTTTATTTTACTTGTGTGCATTTTTTTTTTAATCAGGCTGCAGAGCTTCACCTGTGCTTCCAATGTTAAACTAGATTGTATAAAGAAGTTGACACACCCATCACACTTTGCATTGTGGACTATAATTTTGAAGCCAATAGTTTTTCCTGATCATGTGCCTGATCTTTAACAAGGGCTGTCTACTTTTTGACTCAAAGCCATTCCTTCACAGATCGCAACCCTGTGACATGTCATGTTTTGACAAGAGAGTTGTTACACATTCCTGCACCTTGGCTGTTTACCTGTTTAAGAGGTTGTGTTAGTGGGACTTATAAAACACAACAAAAATATCCTGCCTTAAACATGCAACAGACAAGCCATGTGATTCAGAGTCAGCAATAAAATACACTAGGAATATAAAACAATAATAGTAATTGTAGAAACACTATGATAAAATAGAGCTCTACAGTACTCTACAAAAATAGAGAACTTGAGCAGATAAAGGTCTGCAGTACCTGGAGCATTACCTGAACACCTTGAAATACATGACTGGAACATCAGGGGAAACCTTCAAATTGACATGCAATACAAGGAAGAAGGGATATTATAGAGGTGCCTCTATCATCTGTAAGTAGTGAAAGGACATGAAAAAACATCACAGCGGTGTTAACATGCTTAGACTTGCTGTGTTATTTTTTCTACTGCAGGCCTTTACCTGCTTTTTTGGAGTACTATGGAGCTGTTGATGTGTTTGTAGGCTTTTACTAACAATTACTATGATTGTTTTATATTTCTATTGTATATTATTTCCGACTCCTGGCATGACCTGTCAGGTGACCCCAGGGGTTGTAGGAGGTGTGTCCACTCACTGCTTCATGCTTGATGAAGGGCTTTCATTAAATGCAACTTATCAGCTTCTTGTGGGCAGACTCAGTCTTTTGATTTTCAAGCCCAAAGATCACATCTGCTGCTTTTATATGGCCTATCTGTCACAGAGACTCTGAGCATCACTTCTAATAGAAAAGAAAGTCAAAACAGCTATAGTGTAGACCACTGACCCACTGACTTAAAGATGAACGTTAGTCTATATGTCCTCCTCCCACTGAACAACTCCCCAACGGGCACAGAAACATTGTGCTGGTGAAGTCATTTGGAGCAAGAGACGGTGCAGAAGAGATTGACTGATGGAGCCACAGTATTATCATCATGCCCCTACTGCAAATCATTACTGATAAGACAAGTGTTAGTTTGAAGTGGGCAGACATGGTTTTATGATTCTTGTGCGTGCTTTGATACGCTTCCTTTCAGTCCCATGAGCTCTAACCTCAGTCAGATTCAGAGTCAAAAGATTTAGATGTTCAGACATGCTGCTTGGCTATTGATTAAAAAAAGTAGGGCATGTTTGAAGGGAGATTTAAAAAAAAAAAAGAAAAGAGGGTTGAATGTGCACTGCTTGAAACAGGAGGTTGCCATGTATGTATAACACAACAAAAGAGAGCATTGTTGCTAAACTGAGTGTGGCCAGGTTTATCTTAATTATCTTATTTCCAGAAGCCAAAATGGTCATGAAAATTTTAATTAATCCCACAGCCCCTTTGGCCTCGGCGAGATCACTTGATAGCCCCACAAGACAACGAGGACAAAATACATGGACTTCTAATAATCCAGATATCTGTGGTTAAAAAATAAATAAATCATGACATGATGCGGACCTGTTCTTACTTTGCTTCAGTCAATTATTTCTTGCGTCAACAGTGAGTCACTTTTGTTCCTTTTATTTATGTTTGCTCTTTACCTCCAGCCTTGAGTAATTGGCAATTTGTCTTCAGATGAAGTTTTTATGAAAGGCATGCTTTTCTTTGTGTGGTTCGTTTGTTGACTCTTGCAGACAACAGTCATTATAAGTCATTACAAAAGAAGTCCAACAAATGTTGTCATCAGCTAGCCTTGTTGTTCAGCATATTGGATTTAAATGAATGAATTCAATGACTAAAGGCATGTAGCTCTAATAACTTTGGAGTTTTTTAATATCCATATTGGGGGGACGGTGTTAGAATTTCAAGTACCTCATGATGAAAGAAAGCTCTCATTGTCAGTTGTAGTTTCAAAGCCCAAATATTTTACTTTCAGTAACACCTACACTGCAAGAAAGATGGAGAAAAGCAAACTATTTTAAAGTTACATTAAACTGCAAATTAATTCAAAATGCCTTGATGTCATGTGGTATTTTCTGGTGCAGCAAAGCATTTATTTTTCAGTGTGCTTGTTTCCTAAAAGATGAAATGTAATTTCAACTGGACTCCCTTTTATCTAGCCACTTTGGTTTGGTAATTCATTGTCACTGCAATGCAATAACATTTCCAGTGTTTGGGAAGCTTTGCAAGATTGAAAATAAAAAACAGGATGAACCTGGTGTAAGAACGTGTATAATATTGCAGCCAGAATTCTGAAAGGAATACGGACACCTATGGGATGAGTTTGTTACTGAACACAAAAAGTAATTTAAAATTTAAGGCATTTTCATTTTGAAGCTGACACCTGTGTAATTGGAGGAACAGGATATGTTTCAGGTGCTTGCTCAAAAGCTTTATGTCTCCATGAATACTAAATAAGCTCATAAACTATCAATCACTGCTAACAATCGTGAAAAAAAAGGATGCATGACAACTGAAAAACTGGGATGTTAAGTCATGTTTCCACATGGGAAAGAAACATTTTGTATTCACCTAACATGACATCATGTGGTGCCTTTGTTTTGTAGTGCGTCAGTGCTTGCTTGGTGTACTTTTTGTTCTTTCCTGCAGCCTCATCACAGGTTAGTTCTTCTGTGGTCACATGGATTTAAAGTTCACACTGTGCTTGCAATATGACTGTGATCAGTGGGTAATGAAAAATATAGCGACACTAATTTCTGTTAACCTGTTGGTTTGTTTTAGGTTCGGACAAGGAGGAAATGTTCCTGACCTGTTTGCATAATGCAGCTTTATTTTTTTTCCGTCTTTTTCCTCTCCCTCACAACACAATATAAAAATCCAGTTGAGTTCCATTCATTTACTGCATGAACTATAGGCCTATTTTCTGATAAAAGTCCTTATCAATCGATTGATTTAAAGTGAAATTAGTCCAGAGTTTAGCTGTAGCCTAAGGTATGTTTTAATCTCTTAGAGTAAAATGTTGAAATCAGTGAAACAGCTTTTTCCTCCTGACTCAGTAAGCCAAGGCTGTTTGACAATGATTCAGCATGCACAATACAATGACCCTGAAACTGAAGCAGCTAAATGGAGTTCATCTAACTAACTATCATTAACTTCATAGTCTACACTGGGGCTTTTCTACTGCTGTGACACATCAAGAGTTATCCTGTAAAAAGGCAAATTTTAGGTTAGATATTTCATGAAACAACCATCTCTCACGTTGTAATTCTTTAAATCACGGAGATGTTGGTATTTAGTTCATAGAAGACTGAATTTGATGCAAATATAAAACAAATCACTTCACATTTTTATTTCTTGTTATATTAAAACACTTTGTAGGTTAATGTTATTGCTAACTTTGACTGATAGATGGCGCCAAATGCTATGCAAGGGCTTTTGGTATGAAGAATACAATTTAATGGTCATTATTATACTGTAGAATTGAAATTAAAATATTGATAGAAACATATGTTGTAAATCAGCTAGCTAGCTAATTTAACTGAGTAGCTTACTTAGCTAGCTAGCTATTGAACTTAGGGTGTTATGCTAAACACCCTAAGTGAGTGGCAGTCATATTGCAAGCACAGTGTGAACTTTGAAAATGTCCAAATTGGGCTCAAAGTGTCAATATTTTGTGTGGCCACCATTATTTTCCAGCACTGCCTTAACCCTCTTGGGCATGGAGTTCACCAGAGCGTCACAGGTTGCCACTGGAATCCTCTTCCTCTCCTTCATGACGACATCACGGAGCTGATGGATGTTAGAGACCTTGCGTCCCTCCACGTTACGTTTGAGGACGCCCCACAGATGCTCAATAGGGTTTAGGTCTGGAGACATGCTTGGCCAGTCCATCACCTTTCCCCTCAGCTTCTTTAGCAAGGCAGTGGTCGTCTTGGAGGTGTGTTTGAGGTCGTTATCGTGTTGGAATACTGCTCTGTGGCCCAGTTTCCGAAGGGAGGGGATCATGCTCTGCTTCAGTATGTCACAGTACATGTTGGCATTCATGGTTCCCTCAATGAACTGTAGCTCCCCAGTGCCGGCAGCACTCATGCAGCCCCAGACCGTGACACTCCCACCACCGTGCTTGACTGTAGGCAAGACACACTTGTCTTTGTACTCCTCAGCTGGTTGCCGCCACAAACACTAGTCTCATCAGACCACAGGACATGGTTCCAGTAATCCATGTCCTTAGTCTGCTTGTCTTCAGCAAACTGTTTTCGGGCTTTCTTGTGCATCATCTTTAGAAGAGGCTTCGTTCTGGGACGACAGCCATGCAGACCAATTTGATGCAGTGTGCGCCGTATGGTCTGAGCACTGACAGGCTGCTGCTGCCCCCCCACTCCTTCAACCTCTGCAGCAATGCTGGCAGCACTCATACGTCTATTTTCCAAAGACAACCTCTGGATATGACGCTGAGCATGTGCACTCAACTTCTTTGGTCGACCATGGCGAGGTTTGTTCTGAGTGGAATTTGTCCTGTTAAACCGCTGTATGGTCTTGGCCAGCTCAGTTTTCAGGGTGTTGGCAATCTTCTTATAGCCTAGGCCATCTTTGTGGAGAGCAACACATCTTTTTTTCAGAACCTCAGAGAGTTCTTTGCCATGAGGTGCCATGTCGAACTTCCAGTGACCAGTATGAGAGTGAGAGAGCGATAACATCAAATTTAACAAACCTGCTCCCCGTTCACACCTGAGACCTTGTAACACTAACGAGTCACATGACACCGGGGAGGGGAAATGGCTAATTGGGCCCAATTTGGACATTTTCACTTAGGGGTGTACTCACTTTTGTTGCCAGCAGTTTAGACATTAATGGCTGTGTGTTGAGTTATTTTGAGGGGACAGTAAATTTACACTGTTATTCAAGCTGTACACTGACTACTTTACATTGTAGCAAAGTGTCATTTCTTCAGTGTTGTCCCATGAAAAGATATAATAAAATAGTTGCAGAAATGTGAGGGGTGTACTGTATATATATAAATGTTAAAAAAAAAAAAAAACAGTGATATCTGTTGAAATTAGCATTTTAAAAAGAGAAATCTGACATTCTCAAGAGAGAAAAACATTCTCACTCCACCTGGTAGTTAAAGGCTGATAACCCTGTCATTTTGAATGTCTGTGAGTTTTCCCCCCGATAAAGGCAGTTCAAATTGATCAATAGGATTTACATAACACATAGCCTACTTTTGTTTTTACAGCATGTTTACTTAGACAAACCTTCACCTGTATTTCAAAAGGATTCAGCATTTAAAGTAAACTAGAGAAACAATGGCCAACAGCAGCACAACTATGACTTTATATAAATTCACCTCTAACTCAATAACACCAGGTTTACAGCTCAGCTATATTAAATTATAGCCGAATTTACATGTAACACCTGCTGCCCCTGTTCTTGGCTGGAATCAGCCAGGATTCATTGGTGGGCTAATCCCTCTGGCATTAACCAAAATGATCACATTACCAGTCAGGGCCTGTTACATGATCACACGACACATTTCCCTAATATTCTGAACTGTAGACAACTTGAATAATGAATTTGGTCAAACGTAATCTGACTCTCTTTTCTGCATTTCTTCCTCAGCGCTGCTGACCAGTAGGGTGGCATTAACATCTGGATGCCCCCTTGGCCACTTCCCATGTGGAAACATGAGTGAATGCCTCCCTCAGGCTTTGCAGTGTAACGGACACAAAGACTGTCCCAATGGAGCTGACGAGCGACGCTGTGGTAAGTGAATTACAGATCGCAATTTTTCAGCTCAATTGCTCAACTTGTTCCTTCCCTCTGGTACATAAATAATTTAATACCAGCTCTCTACTTCCAGCTTTACAAACAACTTAATTTCCTCTTTTTTAAAACTATACAATTTGCAGCTTTGCAAATTTTCCCCTTATGTGTATTTATATAATATACAGTATTGGCAAGTTTGATTCTTTTCTATCACACAAGGAAAAGTCAGAAAGATCACGAGGCAAGTACTTCAAACAGTTCTTCGCCAAAAAGTGCAAATGCTTTGTATCTCAAAAGCAGGACTGGTAACAAAGGTAGAAATCCTCATTCAACACTGCCAGGCACAAGATAAAAATTATAAATAAAATTGCTACCTAAAACATTATTTCACAGCTTTTCCTCAAAGCAGAGCCTCCATTCAACCACATTGTGGCTAATGTGCATTCCAGAGAATGTATCAGACTCTCCTTCTTTGATCAGTGGGAAGAGAAAAAGCCAAGAAAACCTCTGAACTGGCAACAGAGTTAACTTAACCGTGTTATTGAGCTGGTGAGAGGGGGTGAAATCATCATATAATTATTTTTAAGTTCTTAATTTACGTTACATTGCCAAAATATGTTGGCGAATATGAAAAGAGAAAATAATAGAAGACTTTGGATAACTATCTGTAGTGACCTGGCATCTTTACAGATAGGTTACTTCTGCTGTTTGATCACAACTGAATAAAGTTTTGAATACAGCCAGGGATAAAGTGAATTTGTCTAAGTGTGAGCCTCAAACTCAACATTATTTCAGCCTGAAGTCAATGAAGGAAGAATGCAGCACTGCAAAAATTGAATAAATACACTTTTGTGAAATTGTAGAATTAACTTTTTTTTGCAAACAAAGTACTGGCAATTTGAAATTTTTGGAAGAAAAATTCTGCTCATAGTGTCTTTATAAATCAAACAGGCAAAAGCACATTTATCAAAGAAACAGAGATCTGACGGCTGCTGTGCTTCCCTCCATTCATAGAAGAACAGGCTGCTCTCAGTAGATTAGAGAGCCCTTCACTGACATCATAGCTGAGCTCTTTGCCAATAATTAAACCAACATCCTGAAAGAGATTTGTAGCATTTCATAGATTTGTAGCATTTCTGACTGTTTACTGTACAGACATACCACTAGAGTAATGCTAATGAATGCTAAAATGCATCAGTGAAGGACTGTATTTTAAGAAACGCATATTAACATGTTGCTTGCTTTTGAACAATGACAGCCCAGCAACTTAAACATTTGACAACACCAACACATGAAGATGACATGCTATATGACAATAAAGCTAGCAGGCGGGAACAGTAGTACTTATGTCTTGGCAGATTTCACACAGGAGGAAAGTAAGAGTTTTAACCTTTTCTTTAGGTATCAATTTAAAAGAGATGTAAGTTCACGTTTAGCTATACTTTGATCCTATTATTCTGTATTTATTCATTTTTAAATGTATTGATAATGCTCAGCCACACTGGAGTTAGCCATGGATTTACCTTCATCGTGAATAAAAAAGAACAAGTATTAAGGGTTAAACCGAGCAATTTGTAATGTCATACAACATGCAAAAACTATTCTTCTTTTTTAGAGCAAACACAGTTCCTGTATCATAGAAGCAACACCAGACCAAAGCTTCAGAATCCCCTGACTGCTTGCTCTCCTTTAACTCTCAAGATGCTTGACAGTCTGTATAATGAGATGCTGAAAAGCCTCCTCACCACATCATTGCATCCTGTCAAATCAGTGAACTGACTGAACTGAAGAAGCGGTTTGTAAGGACAGTGTAGCACTGACAGCCTGGTAAGCTTCTCAAAAAAAGAGAGGACAAGAGGCAAGTTAGATATGTAAAACACTTTTAATCACGCGTGCCAAGTTTAGGAGAACTGTTCTGATTCACATTATCACTCAAAACCAAACTCCTAATCGTTCTAATATTAACCGTTGTGTCAACGGTTCTCGTGTCAATTTAAGCATTCATTCATCGACTAAATATAGTTCATATGATAGACCTATACCTGTCTTGAAAAACTTTGTAAGTCATACAGGGCAAAGCCAATTGTTTTAATATCAGCTCGATGAAGAAAAAGCACAGATTAGTTTTGGTTTGGTTGAGCCTTCCTGCCTATAACCAGAAACACATTCTCTGCTGTATTAAGATTCATTTTCCCATCCTCATCATTAGACATCTCCTCCTTACAGCCATGTTATGCAACGGGACAGAAATAACAAGAATTAAAGTGTAGCTAACAATGGCTGTCCGGCCCTTCCACAGTGTGCAACGCATCTTCTAAACAGTCGCCCTGTTTAAATTGCCACGCTGTAAACATTGAATGGGGTATGTATGTGACATATGTGTCTTTTGTAGCCAGCCTCAAGGGGACACTGCAGTTTTTTTTTCACATACGCATTGGCCTCATTTTTCAACACCAGGGGTTGTCGCTTGGTGTATACCCTGCACTACACCACAGCTCGAGATTTTTGTTTTTTGAGATCTGAAGATTAATTGTTGGGCCTTTGCTTTTATCCAGACAGGACAGTGGATAGACTAGGAAACTGGGAGATAGAGAGAGAGTCAGGAATGACTTGCAAAAAAGGAGCCACAGGTAGGATTTGAACCCATGCCGCCCTAGTGAAGAACTATAACGTTCCTATATGGGGCGTGACCTAACCTAGGCCATCGGCGCCCCCCACTGCTTAAGAGCCTTTTGACCCTGTATCGTAAAGGCTTCTATCGCTGTTTGTGTGCTGAAGACGTTATAAATGGTATATCCATAACTGATATTTATTACATGTGTAGCTGTAACTTGAAAATCTACACAGAAAGGACAGTAATAAAAAAAATGTCAATTTCCTTTTTTGTAAATATTGATGATTTATGTGTCCTACATGTGTGAAGAATAATGCCCCTTCATCACTTCAGCTCAGTATCACCAGTTACTCTTAAAGCTTCTGATCTGTGTTCACTTACAGCTTCCAGTGCAGCCACGTTCTGAAATAAACAATGTAAGACTCTACTTGAGCTCAGAATTGCTTTAAAAAATACTATTCATTCATTCTAGTTAACCTTTCTACATCGGTGGGAGGTGACCTGAATTTTTTGCCCGCCACAGTCAACATTGGCTCTGTATTTGGCAGGAGGAGATGTAATTTAATTCCCTGGCGTTGGCTGGTAGCTGATGGTAAGCTGTGCTTGGTGTGCCCACAGATTGAGCTTCTTTTCAGAGACAACGTGTGTGACAACATGTTTGACAGCCTGGTTTGGCTTTGCTTCGTGCCACTGGTGCAAAATTTGTTTTTCACTTGAAAAAACATTTACAGCCAATTAAAAACCCATTCAGATGTTTCAGAGCTAGTTTAGTTGTTATAGCAGAGTGTGTGGCCTGGCCAATTGTTGTTAAAGGTTGTTAGGGCATAAAAAGTTGCATTTTGGATCTGTTTTTTCCAAAAATAGCTTTGTTTAAGTGTTAGGAAGTTAAAACAACAGCTACTTTCAGCTCCACTCCTGCAATCTCTCGTGAAGCACATTTGACTCTATCATTAAAGTTCATGATATTCAGCAAAGAGACAGTGCATGATGTTCTGTCTACATGGACCAACAGAATGAGCTCAAAATAAAAGTACCTCTTTGTTGGTTTTAATTGTTTTTGCGTTACAGGGGACAACATTGGATGGGCGGACTTATTTGGTCAAACACTACAGAATGCCAATCCTATGGAGCAGTATTTCCTAAATGAGTGTTGTAAGTTTGTTTATATGTATAGTATTTGTATTTGCTTGAATGTGTTAAGGTATTAATGTTGACATGTTTGTCAGTGTTTGTGTGTTAACATATTTATTTATATAGAGAATCATTTGTATAATTTTAAGTCAGAAGCAATTTGAAGGGAACGTCTATACACTGCGCAAATAAATGAAGGAAACACTTCTATCACACATTCCCAACAATTCCCTTTTTGAAGGATTAATATCCCTGAAGTTGAACTGACTAGGTGTTATAAAGTGACAATAGAGAGTTCTTGAGCAGTGTAAGCGATGTTTATATACAGGATAAAGTATCCTGACATCAGAAATTCCGTGAGTAGTTGGCTTGTTTGATGACATAATAAATAATACAAAAAGCAGAAGCAATTAAAATGTAACAGAATTTTATACCGACACTGACAAACAAGCTGTGTTTATTATTGATTGTTCAGGATACCTGAGGTTGGTTCAGTTCTAAAAATAATCGGAATGACTTGATGTGTGAGCCCTAATTTAACTAATTCAACATTTCAAAGTTGGTTCAATAATAAAAATACATTTATTGTTCCTTTTATAACAAAAACAGATTTCCTGTGATAAACTATGTGTGAATGAATGTGTTTGTGCAGTACTTCAGGAGTATCCAGAGAGTTGTGATTGCATACACACAGACGTGGAGTGTGTGGAGGTCAACCTGCAGGATGTTCCCTCCCTCTCTCCAAATGTCACCTGGCTGTAAGTTTGCTCTGACAACAGCAATGACTGTGGATGTGTGTGTTTAGCATGAGTGTGCACTTGTCTGTGACCACCAATTTGTGTTCAAAGTAAAGAGTCTTCAATGTCCTCATTTGATCCAGATGCTTTTTGTACCTGGAGCCTGGCTTCAGCTAAAAGTCAAAATACACGTCCTGTTTTTCAGGTTTTTGTTTTTGTTCTTGGCGATGTACTTCTCAGCAAAGAAACGGATCATTAAAACATTTATTTGTTGTTAGATAAATTGATCATTTACCCACTAATCAACTCAAATTGTGACAAATAAGATCATATCTAAAATGTGCTTATTATTCATAGCTCATAAATGAATCTCATGCAGTTACTTACAACAGTGTTTCTGAATAATGGTTGTATTATGCTTAGTATTGTTTTGCATTCTGAGCTTTTTTTTAATCATCCTCCTGCTATGTTGACCTTTTGGTAACCTGCTTTGGCAGGACTATTTGCCTCTTCAGGTCTAAGCCTGACATTGAACAACCCTTAGTTTTTTTTATTATATTTGATGAAATTTGAATGTTGTTGTCACTTAGAGATTCAGAAACTCTGCTGTTGTTTGTGAGTGGCGGTTTCCTCTATCTGCTGAAATAGTCTTTTGGTCTTAAATCCAGGCTTCTTCCATCCATCAAAACCTGAAAGCATAGAGTCACACTTTTTAGCGTCTCCATGGAAACCTATTCATACTGCTAAAAAATGCAGTTTTAACTTTGTAGGAACTTTATTTTCATAAAAAATGTGTACATAAAAACATTAACACTTTTCAAACATGTCTTTCTTCTGGCTGTCTCATCTTTCTGTCATAGGACTATAGGGACAACTTGTTTTCCTACTTCCAGTCTTCATGCTTTGCCATTTTTATGCTAACCTATTTAATGCTGAAAATTCCAAACTATTGATGATGCTCTTCATGCCACTTTTTCAGCATGACTTTTTTTATTATTATTATTTTTTTATAATAATCTGTAATATACCTTATTTGTTTCAAGATCACTTCAGTTCATTTAATGCCTTCGTTCTCTATTTGATTTATTTGATTTAGTGGAGTAGTGGAGACGTGCTGCACTGTGGTGTTGTTTTCAGTTTCTCTCTGATTAAAGGGGAGTTCCCTTAATAAAGTTAATTGTCGTCCCTTTTGAAAATAAATAATACAGACTACAATAGCAATTAAAAGATAATCTCTGTTTTGTTTTCCAAATTGACTATCAGTCTAAACCCACTTGTTCAGGAGGATGGTCATTTGCGTCTTTTATATTGAGCCTGTCAGTGTTTCCTTTCTAAAAGAGATGTTTGTTGAGCCATTTTGTTAATTGTGGGTGTGTTAGTCTCCTCCAATTAACTGAAAATCACATAAACCCGGATCATCCTGCCTGAGTGTTTCTGTTGAATGACTCTACTACACTATAGTGTGATAGAGCACAGCTATACAAAACATGACCTTCAGCTGTTTATTCCTTATCCTCTGAATCATTGATGTTTACAAGCCAATAATAGAAGGTTTTTGGACTTCACCGAGGCTCTTTATTTCATACCTCCTCCCACATCTCATGTATGTGTCATCCACACTATGATTACTGTGTTTTTATTTTTCAGTCAGATTAGCATATTCTCGTGATTTAATATCTGAATTTGCACGTAAAAATGTTATATTTACGTATATACCAATGATCAATTCTAAATAAACCACATTGTTTAAAAGGATTGCCATTAAAGAAGAAGTAAAGAATTAAGTAAACTTATAAGTTAATATATCCAAAACAATGAAGAAAAAAAAAAGAAAAGAATAAAGAAATCTTTCACCTGCATTTTGCGGCTGACGTGTGATGCACTTAGATGTAACAGCTGACTTGGTCCTCATGGGAAAAAAAATAAAACATGATATAAAGATACCGCATGATCACAGACTGACTTTGGTTTTAAGTTATTTTTGTTGGATGACAATTTAATGGCAGGGGATTGCATCACATGCTTGAACTCGGTGTGACCCTCAGTCTGTTTGAATATCTTGTTTTATGGAAACACCTCAGGAGCACATTGGTCTCCCCCTAGGACTTTATGTCTCATTAACTCCTCTTTGAAATTTTGTGTTTACCCGGGCTTCATTTCTGCTCGCGTTCAAAAAAAAAATCCCTCCATTGTTAAGCATTTTAGGTAATTATAGCTGCTGTCATATTCCAGCATCTTCAAAGGAATGTAATTAAGAGTGAAATTTAAAATGTTGATTCTGTGGTTAAGGTAATGTAGTAACCTTTGATCTACCAGAAGCATGGGCGTGTCCAAAGTGGTGGCATGCTTCCCCCCCCCCCCTTTAAATCGGACTGGCCACCCCAGGTGTCTCCCCAAACACCCCAAGCTATGATTAGCTATTTGCCTTATCAGAGGCGGGACTTAAGTTACAATCAACTATTTAGGCTGTTTGCGATAGCCTATAGCTTTCTTTATGTGCAAGTTTATTATATTTTCTTTTTTTGTACACAAAGTTTTGAATAAATACTTTTATTTCCTAAGACAGGTTCTTAGGAAATACCATACATGTTTGCAAGCAAACTTCTGCACATTTACCTTGGACTAACTAGCAATGAAACATTGCAAATAAATGTATTTTTACTTTAGATTGTGACTTTGAACATACGTCTTCTTTTTGACTCCTCAAAGAATGAGGCTATGAAGACTTATATGTTGCCATTCTCTTGTGTTATTTTAAGGTAGATGTGCTTAGTGGCGATAAGAGGTGTGTATAAGGTGTGTATAAGCGCTTGGCTATTTCTGTTCCTGTCCTTAACCTTTTTAGATAACCCTGGGCCTTTAAAAGTTTAATAGTTTAAACGTAGACTCTGACAGATGGTGCCTCTGTTTATGCGAAAATTTGAGTCCATGAACTTTTTAAAAGCCATTTCAGAAACAAAGGCAAGTAGTTCAGATTGGTGCATAATGACTTAGACCTTTAGTCCTTCCTCTCTCTCAATGCAAAATGTGTGTGCTGATTGTCTAACTGTGGCATTTCATGTCCTCTGTTACAGCTCGCTGAGGAGCAATGAGATCCGAGTGTTATCAGATTTGGTTTTCTCTGAATACTCTGCCTTGGAGAGACTGTGAGTATTTTTCTCTTTAAATTGTCACTTTGGATTGGGTTGCTCCTCATCCATGTGTTTCTGCATTCAGTCGGTGAAAGTGTAGCTAGGACTTCAGGTTCTGCTTGAGAAGATTTTACTGAAGGTGACTTAACAAAAAAAGGGGTCATGTTGAAGTGAATGAAGAAAAAGTGGAAAGGCAAGCACATGCATTCATGAGGAGATCAAAATCAAAAAGCACTCAAAATTAAAACTATACTTTGCAAACAATAGTACTTAAATCATTACTGATAATGGTCCTTACTTGTGACTCTTAATACTCCACAATAATTATCATCTGAAGTATTATTATAGTAATATATACATATTCATAGATGCTTGGTAAATGGGCCATGAATGGGATGCACTGTTATAAAGATTCTAAGGTAAAGGCTGCCTTTTTAAAAAAGGAGATACAAAAGGGACTTTAAAAGTGTTGTTGATAAAGCCGCGCTGTTTACTGATAGTGAAACAGCCTGAAGGACAGTCTACCCTGGCATCTCACATGGTAATTTAAAGATTATATTCCATAATTGTAAGTTTTTTTCCTTGGGATGACAGCGGTATAATGTTCACAGAACTCCTCTGCTAATGCAGTTTTTATCAGGGTTTTTCAAATGACCTCCACTCAGTCATCTCTGGCGCCCTTTTCCCTCTGTAAGCTGTTTTCCTTTTTAACGCACATGGAGAAAATTCTCATAAGTCGACATGACAAATACTCCCACACGACCGGGATAGTCTCCCGCTGTAAGCAGGGACGCTGGGAGTCAGTTTCAGTTCAGTGTGCTGAATTGAAATTGTGCACAATCACAAGTTGTTCTGACAATATTATGAGAACAAACTCAATTTTTTAGGGTAACATCTAATTATTCTGCTCGGTATGACAGGATAATCAGACATCTTTAGTTTTCTTGGATTACGTTTAGACTTCTCGGAAACACCCCGATGTGTGCACAGAGATGAAAAGCTCCAACCTGCTGTGAATTGTATCATAAACCACTTACGAACTACTGCAGGAAATGCACAAAAAGGCGATCACACATTCTGGTGTACTACATCTACAAATCCCACAAAACGGGTAAAATGTAAGGTTTAACCTTCTTATAAACTGACAGTTTAAATTGGGCAGGAATTAAGGGGGTTCTCTGATCTGGTCAGCTATCACTGATAATTGAAATACAGTATATATATATATATATATATATATATATATATATATATATATTTATTTATTTATTTATTTAAACATTTCAATTATCAGTGATAGCTGACCAGAAGACTTTTTCTGAAAGAAGGTTTATGGGGTTTGGTGTTGGTAAAGATTAAAGAACAACATAAAACTCACACTAGATGCTTACTGTTCATGTCTTTAGAGATAACACATCTCATGAGTACTGGCTTTGACAATTAATAATATTAATAATAATTCATTCATAAACCACAAACTTGTTTCAGACTTTGTTACTAGCAGTCAAATAAATCTGTCCCCTTTATAGTTTTTATAGCTTTAGCAAAATGTGCATCATACAGTGCATATCAAATTACATCTGATAATTGGCACATGGTACACTATACTTTCACATTACTAATGAAGACTCGAACTACCTTAATTAATTAAGTATGATCTTTGCATCAGTCAGGTTTCATAAAAACTCTGAACAAGAGTTGACCATCTCAGTTCAATGTAGAGTAATGATTATATCTTTGAAATGATAGAGACAACACAACCTCTGTTTCTGTCTTTAAAGTTCATGGAACGTTATGTTTCCAAACTTTTAGTAGGTATTAAGGTCAGAAGCTGGATTGTTATTAGTGTGTTTTGAGTTTGTGATTTTTATGTTGGGTGAATTATCCAATCAGCGTTACTGAAGTTTAGAAAAGTAGATAAATGATGAAGAAATGTGCAGGGAATGATAACTGATATTAATATCACTTAAGGGTATTAATACCTTTAAAGTGTGTGAGTGTGTGTGTGTGTGTGTGTGTGTGTGTGTGTGTGTGTGTGTGTGTGTGTGTGTGTGTTAAATGGGAAAGGTGTGAATGACAGAGATAAGCAAATTGCAGAGTTCCATTAAAGGGTTTTGCCTCTGCACACAGGTTTCTGCAGAACAACAGTTTGCAGCATATATCCAAAAATGCCTTCAGCGGTCTGCACAACTTAAAGCGGTTGTAAGTACCCTGCTCACCTTGACATTGTCAGCTCTTACTGGAACCATCACTTACTGTGTTTAAGTTTTAACATTTTGGTTGAGTCACTCTCTGAGAAGTTCTCTGTCATTTTGTGTACGTATGAAGGAAATTGGAGCTTTACCAAACGCTCTCCACTGTTCTTCATCACATCTGCAATTCGTCACAGAGATTATGTTAATTTGATAAAAGCACATGCAAGTATCACACATCTGCCGTTTATTTCCAAAGTTGAATCATTAAGTGGTTTGACGAAATGACAACAATAAAAAAAGCCTAATCAAAGTAGTTCTTACTTTCATCTCACCATTTGAAACACATGTTAAATATAACAAAATGACTGCAGATACATGTTGTGGACTGAATGATATCTGGGAGTTAGAGAGACTACACTGGAATTTGTATTTTCAGCCACTCTTTCTCTGTTTCTCACTGTTTTTTCTCACAGGTTCCTCAGTGAGAACTTGATAGCCTCACTTAGTCCCGGTGTGTTCAGGGATCTCTATCAGCTAGAATGGCTGTGAGTAACACACACACCTGCACACGAGCATGTGGGAAAAGTTATTGTGTTGTGTACTGAAGTTATAAATGGGTATAGCATGCTTTAGTCAAACAAAAGTACAGATTCATGAAGACACATCCAGGTTGCCATAGTCTTCTTTGTGATATCTTGTGTTATCTCTAAAGTTTAATATGTGTTTTATATTTGTATGGGTTTCCTTTTAGGCATCTGGAACTTCCATTTTCAGAACTTTATTAGTGGTTTGGGGTCCCTACTGAAAAAACAAAATTCCCTTGTGTTGGAGAAAGGACAGAGAGCTGGGAGAGTTGTATTTATTCATGCCCGTAACCAATCATAAACTCCATAGCCTGGAGCTGTTTGGATTTAATTTTCTTATTTTCAGCATGAAATCAGTTTAGAGTCGAGCGTACCACTGAACAAAAGTGTATCTGTTCATCCACTGATGTTGACAGCTTTAAGGCCTGGGATTTGTTATCGGTTAAGAATTTAATTTGAGCCGTTTAGCCACTACAGATGTTCGGAATACATCTGCCAATGTGAACAAAAAAAAAAGGTGCTACCAACATCTAAGACGCTGCAGGGAAAATTTCAATATGTCACCCTGCTGCCAACCAGTAAAGCTAATGAAAATGTATAAGACTCATAGTGCTGGAAGAATTACTTTTCTATCTTACTTAAAGGCAGGGTTGGTAATTTTAAACGAGCATGATTTTGAAAGTAGCATTCCTTCACTGCTTCATCCACACCCAACGCCCTCCCCTCTGTGCTCCCTCAAAAGCCACACCCGTCATTTACATGCACTAGCGCGAGAAGTAGACCTCAGCTCATCGATTGCATTGTGTAGAAAATACGTCGTCTCATGTCTCATTCAGCAGTAAGTAAACACTAAACTTATAAAACATGTAAAAAAACCAAAAACGTGACTATTTTACTACTCACAACGGCCAACGACAAACTCACAGTATAAACTCCGCCATCGGTGAGACGCTTTGAGCGTGGGCTAGTGCACGCAAGGAGTAGAGAACGAGCAGGGAGACAGGGAGGCATAATTGGTTCATCACATTGGTGTCTCTTGGCAGACATTGGTCAAAGTTTTTACAGGCTTACAAACTGCTACAGATGATGGATTTTCTTTGTTCCTTTTTCAGAGCACGAGTTATTAATTTCTGTCAGGACCTAAAGACAATTTCAACCAAAATCTCAAAAAGTATATCTGGAGGAAATGACCAACCCTGCCTTTAAGTAAAAGTACTTCTTTCTCAATGTATAAATAGCTTTGACCAGTTAAAGTCATGAATTTCTATTCCTAATTAATTAAATTGTAAGAATATGCTTATGTTATGTATTATACTAAATACACCTTAACATCAGAAGCCCTTCTTTTATAGTATAATGTTCCCTGCAAATGTAATCTTCTGAGTTTGCTCATACTGATGTTTGAATATGTAAGCGGCATTTGAATGATTAGACTTCTCTAGGTGGCACTATCTTTACAGTATGTGGTTGAGTAAGCTCTTAAGAGCTGAGTTTCCCAGACAAAGCGTCAGCCCTTCCAAAGGTTCATCAGAAAAAGTCTGAGGGGTCGTGGGATAAATTATGGGAGAGAAAACAGAAAGAGAACATCAATCTGGTTTCAATTTTTAAGATACTCCCTTGTTTAATTTGCAACATGTAATGGGAATTGAGGGTTCTGTTGCCTTTGATTGTCTTATTTGGACATATGAGATGAGATGAGATGAGATTCAACTTTATTGTCATTACACATATACAAGTATAGCGTAACGAAATGAGGTTTGGCATCTCACCAGAAGTGGAAATAATCAGAAAGTGCAAGAGTCTGTGCTATGTACAGTAATTACAAAATTTACAGATGTAGACTAAAAAAAGTGAATTATTAGGTATATATGGATGGCTGGATTAATGGGATGCTATAAATATAAATAAATGCTATAAATATAAGTGTATTCTTAGGATTATAATATACAGATTAAGGTGCAGCGAGCATGCTATACTAGTTTACAGATAATATAAAGAATATGGACATAATATGAACATACTATAATACAATAATACAGATGGATGAGAGATGTGTGTGTGTGACCAGGAGGAGTGGTGGGGGGGATGATGGGTGTGAGGTGATATGCAGGGGAAAGGGGGGGGTCAGCAGGGTGCGGAGAGAGAGAGAGAGAGAGAGAGAGAGACAGAGTTCAGAGTTCGGGGGGGTAGAGTTCAGTAGAGAAACAGCTCTGGGGAAAAAGCTGTTCCTCAGTCTGCTGGTTCTGGTCCGGAGGCTTCTGAAGCGCCTGCCGGAGGGCAGGAGGGTAAACAGTCTGTGGGCAGGGTGGGAGGAGTCTTTAAGGATGCCATGAGCTCGCCGCAGACAGCGTTTTCTTTGGAAAGAAAGAAAACATGTGGGAATGAGTGACACAAAACAGCACACAGAAGATTTTGATTTTGTTTTTTGCGCAACTTAGTTTTCTAATGTCATTCAAATGGTTTCAGTGGTAAGGGAGGTAAGAGATGTGAACATGACATCAAATCTCTGGCGCTTGTTTCATATCATTCACTTTGAGAATCAGAAATACTTTTATTGGCCCCTGTATGTCAAGGAATTTGATGCTGGTTTTACTGTCAATAAACAAAAACATTCACTCTATGTAAGGGCTTATAGATACTATACGTCTTAAAATGATAATTAAATACAACAAATACAATAACACTTGTGGACAGTGAGATAGTTGAGAAAATATTAATGCTAGGGGAGATGAGAATAATTCAGAAATACAGACGAGAAAGACAAAGTCTAAAGCATGTAAAAAGCAAACACAATAGAAAAGCAGATGTGAGCTAGTTTGGTTCTTATTGCTCATTTAAGACTAAACAGATAATATCAGTTCTTTGCTGTTTAGGCCAAGTCATGAAGGGCAGCTAGAATCTTTAAAAAACTTACCAGACGTGGCTGTTTGCTGAGTATGAAGCCCTAAAGCTTGAGCTTTTTTCACCACCAACAGAAAGAATGCTTCACCAGGCTTCAATCAGTCTAATTCACAGCATGGTGTAAAAGCCCTTTCTTACTCTGTTTTATGTAAAGTTTTCAAGCTAACATTAACAACTCATTCAAACATTCTCACAACTTCCCCTCAAAAGTGTGAGGGTGGCCTAAGCACCTGCTTAATACCCTTGGGTACAAGATGGTGGTCTTGATCATCTCATCTAATTCTAGCTAGGAAAGTGAAGCCCTTCCACCCAAGAGGTTGAATATTATGCAAAACAAAGATGAAACAAGTTTGGTCAAGGGATTGCTTAATATAAAAGTACTTGTTTTTTCCAGGATGTTGGATCACAACCCACTGAGCATCTTGTCCCAGGATTCCTTCATTGGGCTCCAGTCTCTCATGTATCTGTGAGTTTCATCATTTTAACTCTGTTTTCAGGTTATCTGACTTCTAATCACAAACTACTGACATTTTCCTGGTTCACTGAAATGACAACTGAAAGTTTCACTTGTGTAAATATATCAAATTTGTTTAAAATATATAAAATATTAGAAATCAGCACCTACTGTTCAAGATTTTATTAAAAAAAAACAAGTTACCCAATATAAAGAAATAACCAGAGAGGTTAAAGAGATTCTATGAGTCATCTTATATTTGTGCACCCTCACAGTACAGTTTCAAGGTGTAAACCATGCTGCAGTTTTTGCATCGTTTTCTTCTTTTATTTTTCCTCTAAACACTCTGAGAACATCAAGAGCTTTCGTGCTTGTCAGATATCTGATTAGATTCACTCTGTGAGTTGATTTTGCTAAATTACACACCTCATTTCATGCACAGTCACGTCTTGGTGTTCTGACGACCGTCATCAAGTCGAGTTTTGAGGGAGTCGGTAGAAAAGTCTCTGAATGGATGTCAAAAGGTCTCCCTTGGCAATTTTTTGTTTTGTTCATACACCAAAATGTAAAGTCACGTGTGTTTAAAATCAGGCAGAGTATAAGCAGGTGGAGCCAACTGAAGCTCTTAACAGAGAAAAAGAAGAACTATTACACTATAAAATAAAAAGTTCAAATGAGCAATAGGCAGTCTGTCTCTACTTGTTATTCTCTCTTTATCCTTAGCTGTCATCTCTTTCCACCTCCTCATCCATTCTTTCAGTTAACTAAAGTTCTCTCTATCTTTTCTGGAAGCTGTCCACAACAGATATCCATTTCAGTAAATGACCTTCTAATGTGCATATAATGGGGCTATAGCCATTTAAATCAGCTCTCACTCTTATTGTCTCTGTTGTACCTCCCAGGACTGATTTTGAGAGAGAAACATCTCCTTTGGTTTCTCCCTTCATCCTTGGAATCTGAGGAGGGCTCCCTGTCTCCACTCTCTGCTTCTTTCCCCTCACATCTGTCTATAGTGTGGCCACCCAGAATATCAGAGACTCTTTCTTGAATGCAACAAAAACTGCAGGAGATCAAATGTGCTGACTATTCTGTAACGTCTCTGTGGCTCAGGAGATTAAACTCAATATATCAGAATGGTTTCATGTTCTACAACTAGATCATGTACTTCGTTTTAATGACCACCATTTAAAAGTAAAAGCTTGAGACTGATTTTTCTGGCAAACCGTCCGACGGCTCAGGGAGGGAAAGCAGGGCTTGCCCCAGGCTGTTATCAGCAGGGGTGGAGGGCTGCTGACCCGGACTGGGGACATCGTTGGGCGGTGGAAGGAATACTTTGAGGAACTCCTGAACCCAGACAACACGTCTTCTGAAGAGGAGGCAGAGTCTGAAGATCTGGGGGAAGCCTTACCACTAACCTTGGCAGAGGTCCCTGAGGCAGTTAGAAAGCTCCTCAGTGGCAAGGCGCCAGGTGTGGGTGAGATTCGCCCCGAGATGCTTAAGGCTCTGGACATTGTTGGGCTGTCTTGGCTGACACGCCTCTTCAGTGTCGCGTGGAAATCTGGGACAGTGCCTGTGGAGTGGCAGACCGGTGTGGTGGTTCCCATTTACAAAAAGGGGGACCGGAGGGTGTGCTCCAATTATCGTGGGAATCACATTTTTCCAGCCTTCCGGGAAAAGTTTACTCTAGGGTGCTGGAAAGGAGGCTCCGGCCGATTGTTGAACCTCGGATGCTGGAGGAACAATGTGGATTCCGACCCGGCCGTGGGACAGTGGACCAGCTCCTTACCCTCGCAGGGCTTCTTGGCGGGGCATGGGAATTTACCCATCCAGTCTACATGTGTTTTGTGGATTTGGAGAAGGCTTTTGACCGTGTCCCTCGGGGGATCATGTGGGGGGGGGGGGGGGGGGGTACTGCAGAAATATGGGGTCCAGGGGCTGTTGGTACGAGCCATCCGGTCCCTGTATGACCAAAGTGGGAGCAGTGTCCGCATCCTCGGCACAAAGTCAGACACGTTCCCAGTGCGTGTTGGCCTCCGCCAGGGTTGCCCCTTGTCACCGGTCCTGTTTGTGATCTTCATCAGCTCCTACATTCTGGGGGGAGCTCGGAGTAGAGCCGCTGCTCCTTCGCATCGAAAGGAGCCAGTTGAGGTGGTTTGGGCATCTGTTAAGGATGCCTCCTGGACGCCTCCCTTTAGAGGTTTTCCAGGCACGCCCAACTGGGAGGAGACCCCGAGGCAGACCCAGAATACGCTGGAGGGATTATATATCTCCTCTAGCCTGGGAACGCCTCGGAATCCCCCAGGAGGAGCTGGAAAACGTTGCTGGGGAGAGGGAAGTCTGGGCTGACTTACTGTGCCTGCTGCCGACCTTGGATAAGCAGAAGACAATGGATGGATGACTGGATAAATTGTATTTGTCTTTCCCTTAAATTGCTTCATCGCTGTAGCTGTACATTTATTTTTTTAGGTAATTGTTTATGTGCCTGTTTTTTTCAATGACATTTAGTTTCTTTCTCTCATCAGGTCCATGGTCGACACCTTATTGCAACAGCTTCCTCACCCGAGCTTCTGTCAACACATGCCTGCCTTGGACTGGCTGTGAGTCTGCTCTGACAGTGTACTTGTGTGTGTGCAGGTGTGTAGTGAATAAGTGTGATTAAGCAGACAGATGTGCGTGTGATGATGGGGAAAAAAACGAGGCAGGTCAACTGAGGTGACAGTGGACTTAGTAGCGGACAATATGAGATTCAGACGAGTGGTCCTCATGTTCTACTTCAACCTGATGTGAAGTGTCAGTCTCAGTTGATGTCACTGCTGGCAGTCGCATCAATAAACAATTTTTAGCCAGCAAGTGCATACTGGAGAGGTCGTGCTGGATCATTCTAACAATGACCTCTTGCTATCTGTTATGACTTTTAGCTGCGTTCTTGTTGTGAGCACTAACATCCACTCCTTTAAATTCCAAAACAAACTTTAGCTGTCACTATATTTTTGTTATTTTCTCACAGTTTTCATTCAAGTCAAATTACATATATTTAGTTCTTTTGTATTCTCATTTGAATGAAACTCGTAGATAAGTAACCATCGTGTGACCACAACATTTGGTTCTGTCTTGTTAAAGTCGTTGCACGCTCAGTTCTTTTTTCTTTTTTTTTTGCTCTCAGGGATCTTGAGGGAAACCAGATTCAAAACCTCAACTTCTCCATCCTAAAGACTTGCAGCAAGCTCGAGGTTCTGTGAGTATCCCACTCTGAAATGTGATAAAAGCCAGACGTTTCTTGAGACCCATTCCTTTTTTTTTTTTTTTTTAAGTTAACAAAAGTCACAATGTTTTCTGTATGTAATGTAAACTCAGTTTAACTGTAAAGGACAGAAAGTTAACCTCAGACTTTGTTGAAAGTTAGTTTTCAGTTCAGATTTTCTACCCCTCTCTCTCTCTCTCTCTCTCTCTCTCTCTCTCTCTCTCTCTCTCTCTCTCTCTTCCACTAAAGCAGACACCAGACACACTTGTCCACTTTTATTCATTTAAATTAAGAATAGATAATGGTCTGAAGTGTTACCTGTCATGTCACATTACTGCAGAGTACGACAAACAAGGACACACACAGCTGCACACACCTCGACCAAACACTGAAGAAACCTGTGAACCTTCAGACACCTTCCAGAGGCTTATTCTATACAACTTATTGAAAAACAGCAATAATGAAAAAAATGGGGAATCAAAATCTATGCTCTAAAAGTACAAAAGAAAATTAGGACTGAAAGAATTTCAATAAGTACAATTACTTAAAAAGTCACGATTCATTCTATATCATGAATTATTTCAAAGCAGTGACCTAACATGTGATGAGAGACGTTCCAGTCAGCAGGTACGTGTCAGAGCAGCTAACAGAGATGGAGCTCAGGGGAGGTAAGGCTGAGCTGTAAAAAGGAACACAATCACTTTAAAGTGCATAGAGAGAACAATAGTACAAGTTGGTGTTAATGCAGCAGCTTCTGAACTTTTGAAGGTGGAGATGTTTTCCCCAGAGGTCCAGAGTGAGGGAAATCTTGGTCATCAAAGTGTTCATAATGAATGCATTAGTCAAGTTTTTTTTAGTTCCTCAAATGAAAAAGGAAGCTCATTTTTAATACTACTCCTCAACATGACACATTAAATATCAAAGGTGAAGTCAGATTTTTTAAATTCAACCAAAATTATAGTCTTTAAACCAAATGTGACTACAATAGAGAAGAAGAATCAACCAGAGACTGTTAACAGTGACACAAGGAACAAGTAGAAGAAGTTCATTTGGAACCATGCAGCGAAGAGAAAATACAAAGCTGTCTTCTTTATGTCTAAAAAGCAGATTTCTCCAAACTTGTGATAAAGGCTGAATCCCCAAAAATCTGACCTTTACTTCTCAGTAGAAGTGTGAAGTTTGCAGAAAAGTCTGCAAAGCTCGAGGACAATCCATCCACACTAACAATTCATTCAGTCCACAAGAATAATCTGCAGACTTTCTTTAGACTTCCACAGGCTGCTTGTATTGTGAGCCTTACCCGACTCCACAAGATTTAATAACCCACATATTCATTTTCAAACGTTGGCGTTTCACATTTTCTCTAGAAATATAAATGAAGCTCTTTTAAAGAGTATGTAAAACATTTACTTTATAGCTTAACTTTAATCCTGTAAGCTCCATTAATCAGAAAAGTGTGACTGTATTGTTTTGATCTTTTTGTAAAGCTGTCTCATAGGAATAGCTTACCAGAATCGTCCCATTTTTAGGGTGCAGGGGTCAAGTTTTGCATTTTTTTTTATTATTTTATTTTTATTTTTTAATCTTCAACATTTTATGTCCGGTTGTCATTGTCTGCAAACACAAACTAGGAGGGATGGAATTTCTCTCTCTTCTTCTATTTTCTAATTACGGTTGATAAGCAACCCAAAAGACAATTTCTTAAGAGCAGCTTGAGTTGACCAAACAAGGGGAGGGGTTAAAAGGCAGACAGTGAAATCTTGGCACAGGGGTAAAAAAGGGTCTCTGAATAGAGTCTTTGTTTGTTGGCATGTTTTTGCCAAATAGTCATTCAAAAGAAATGAAATGTTATTAAAGTAATGTCACTTATAAAATAAAAACACAGTTCACTTTCTAAAATAAGGCAGGGCAGCAAGTGGCCATACATTTTTTTTTACTCCTTTCTTCAACTTAACCAGTGAATTCTGTTTGTTGTCTCAAGACCTCGACCTATTTTTCTTGTTATCTCAAAATAACATAATTTTTTTTTTTCACAGGAAATCCAACGTTTTAATCTTGAGTTAACACGATAAAGAAGTTGAGGTATCAAGAACATAAACATAAATTACTTGTTATCATGGGAAAACCAAGTAAATAAGTCGTACGATGCATGTCCACGCAGGGCTTCTGTCGGAAGAAGACCCAAATCTGGTTTTATTTTTCCTTTCATACTGCTGTTAGTTGTTTTTATAAATCTACTGTAACAGGTCTGTGGGTACTCACCTCACTGTACCTCTTTAGTTATGTTTTATTACATTTTAAGGTAAACCTTTTGACTCTACATTTCTAATTATTTGTGTCGTGTATTTGCACCATGTTCTGTTGAACAGGAATTTGTGATCATTATTGAAATGACAGAAAAGGAAAGTAAGCAACAACAAAAAACACTCATTTCACACACCTAACTCGTTCAGAATGAGAGTAAATATGTGCAGCGTGTCAATCTAGCTTCACATTTCTGTCAGGTGTCACGTTAAATCTTTTTGGTTTATGAGTGAAAGCGTATAGGATAGACTTTACTTCACCAGCATCCACTCTCTAATTTGTATTCCTTACCAGCATGGGTATGAATCGTATGAATTAGTAAATGTATACGAGCAAGAGAAGTTTCCAAAGATTTTTAAACCGCACAGAAACTTTGCTGCAGCATAGAAGGAGCATTGTGGGAATCTACAGGGAAATGTACAGATTCTAAAAGAGATTAGATTGAATCGGGGTCCCAGCTGGAGTCGACCACAGGAGACTGAAGACCATTAGGCACATCGGTGTCTGACAGCAGCTCTGTTGTGTTCAGGTTACTGATGGACAACAGGATCAGAAGAGTTCCTGAAAACACCTTCCAGTCTCTGTGGAAACTGGCTGAACTGTGAGTGTCTTGATCATTCTGTTTGCTTCAATCAATTCCCTTTCATGGAATAATTCTGAGAGTAGATAGGTGTAATCCATCACTGGGCTTCAGTGGAGACTTTTAAAAAAATCTGTTTTTTGGTTCTTTCCTGTTCAGGTGGTGATGGGGTTTCTTGTCTCACATTTTTCACAGTCCTTCACGAATGTAATTACTTTCTAACTCAGCAATGCTCTCATGTCCTGCTCTAAACAGTACATTTTAATTAAAGACAAGACACAGCAATTTATTTCAAAAAGAATAATTCAGTTTTTAGTTTTGCTGTTTGTCACTTAGTGGTCAGACTGCATGAAACAATTTCATTCTCATTAAATCTGATCCACGAGATAATATAACAGTATGAATGCATTATGTGTGGAAATGTTTTCAATGAGAGATTGTCTGTTTAACTTACAAAGAAAGACTTTTAACAGGTTAGGGTTTAAAGTGATTCGCAGAACAACATTAATGTGAAAGAACTACAAAAGCAGATCAAAACTTACCGGAGTTCATTACAGGTTTCAAAGATTCAATACATTGTTGAGATTAAAATGAAAGCAATCGAATTACTAATTGAATTCAATATTAAATGATAAACATGATACACCAGGAAGCATGAAAGAATTCCCTCAAGTTCGTAAAAAAAAAATATGTGAAAGGTTTTTCTGAAATGGATGTCATGGATGATGAGAAAAGCAACGTTTTGTTTATTTAAAAAAATAAAACACAGGAAAGAAAATCAACAGCTTTAGAAAGATTGACAGTGGGGAAATTAGTTTCAGTTTTTATACCATAAATTCTTCTTGGCACGAAGAAGAAGATGAAAAAGGTTGGTCATTTGTATGAAGACGTTCAGTATCTGTCTGTTGATTTGATTAATAGTTCTTCATGCTTTCTGTCTTCAGGAATGAACTGAAAATTCTGTACATGCATGTTAGATTTCAAAAAGAATTTGCATGTTAGACAAAGGGATTTATTTTGTCTAGGATTATCACCGTCATTTCTCTCATTCTGAATTCTCTCTCTTTCAAATTCTCTCTCTTTCGTGTTTAGGAATCTGTCCAGCAACAGGATAAAGGAGCTTCCCAAAAACACCTTCAAGAGCCTCTCTAAGTCGCTCCTTAAACTGTGAGTAACTGATAGTCTGGCAGTGAGCGCTGTGCGTCTTCATGTGAGGATTAGAGCAGGAGATCATGGTGAAGTGGAGTATATTCACTTTAAAGAATGGCTGAGGGGATTGTTTTTTAGGTTGGAATCAGAGAAGACAACTTTATCTCACTAATAATGCCTCTCAGTAGAAAGACACTAAAAATGTACGGGAGTATTTTGCTGAACAATGAAGTCTTTTTGTGGAGAAGTTAGTGTAGACTTGTGGCGGTGGCATATTTACACTTTTTTAAAGTTGTCATTATACAGATGTTGCATGTAATAGGCTTATGTAGCTGGTATTGACTTTACTTTTTTCCTTCTATGCTACCTTGTCCTTGTACTCGACAACACTCTGGAGGACAACTTTGCACTCTTTACTCACTAAATTTGTCCGACAGGTAGACACGTTATACCTCACAATATCGGCCAATAAAATCTGATTAGCTCCGTTGCACTCAGCAAAATTCTGTGCACAAACATTTGCATGACTATTAAAATGTCAACAATATACATATTGTTTCATCAGTAAGAAAGGGGGATTTTCAGCAATGATTCCAAGAGCGCTTAAACTCGAGAAAACTTTCAGCACATTTAAGACAAGACATTTAGAGATCGAGACAAGACCAATACCATGAATATCAAAGAATAAACATCACAATTATTTACCTGACAAGTCCAGTTAAACTAGCACTGCACACATTAAAACATTATACGGTTTCAGATTATGAGCTGCCAGTGAGAAACAAAATTACATTTGAAATCACCATAACTATACAATTCATGTGAGCGAGGGGTAATTTGTCTCAGTCAGAATAGACCTCTGATGTCGCTCTCTCTTTTGCTTTTATGCTATGCCTCCATGTTTAAGCCTTTTTCTATTTAATTGTCCCTCATTTTGACTATTCAAGTTTTCCTGCAAAGATGACTCACACCCTGTTTTCTTTAGTGTTACTTTACAGTTTGAGCGAAACACAAAGCTGCATGTTAAAAGCTGTTGTTTACATGAAATGAGGGGGCGGGACTGTCACACCTCCAGTCAGAGTGCTGCTCCATAAACAATGTAAACATAAAGTTAATTAGCTCCAAACTGTCTGCTCATCAGTGGAGAGCCTCAAGCTATGGAAAACAATTATACTCAGTGAACTACATGTCAGGGATGTATTTTATTCCAAAAGTTCAACTTTTCTAGTTAAAATCGACTCAGACATCCGTTTTTCACCCCAACTTTTGACCAAGCTTTACATACAAATCACTTAAACCGTTTGCCATTTTGTGTTTTTCTTTGTTTGTCCAGCTTGTATATTAGGCTTAAGAGTAATTGGTGCGTTGGTTTGTGGTTTCTGTTTGGATGAGGGCGCGAGGTAACAGCTGTGCTGCTGTCTGTTCCAGTTTGCTCTGGAATTTCAGAGGAGGAGTAAAGTACCTTATCAATCTGCCAAACTCATCAAAGGACTTTGAGATTATTCATTTCACCATCATATTAACACCTGACATCTCTGAGACAGAATGCATGGCACAAACTTTGTCTCAAGGTCAATAAAAACTTTGATTATTCATTATTTTTTGAATATCTCTCTTTGTGATAGAAGAGCTGCACAGAAAACACATGCAGTGAAAAGACAGTCCAAGTTTTCTTTATTGATCAATAAATCCTTTTACAGTTTTAATGACAGCAGGAGTTAAATCGTTCTATTCTCACTTTGAGATTCTTCTGAAATAATGTTTTACCTGTTGTGAGACAGTTACAAAAGGTCTGTCTCCACCTCCTTTTTATAGATTTGTTGAATTCCAAAATTTGATGTGATACAGTACATTAGTTCGGTTGTAACAGAGTAACTCAGCATGCACATTTCTTCAAAGTATACCGCTTAAGAAATACACAGCAATGCCAAAACATGCATAAAATACAGCACGCTATAAGTTCAGTAGGTTGTACTCTATTTAAAGTGGGACATAGAGCTATAAGATAGTTACATTTGTGAAGAATAAAATATATACAGAATTCTGATCCGCTGTGAAGTACAATTGAACAAATGTTTATAGCTGTAGGAATAAAATGAATCTGGATTCTACTCTCATTTAGCTGCATATTCCATTTCACCAGAGCACACCTAATTGACTTTGTCATCTGTTTTGTTTTTTTTTGTAGAAATATTTCCCACAACTCTCTTCTCCGTATTGACCCCAGCCACTTCAGCCACCTGACACATCTTCAGTCTCTGTGAGTTAAAACACTCATAGAGTCACACACTCAGTAAATCTGCTCTCTGCAGACTGTGCGGTTGTGAAATGAGCGCTGTGTTTTCTGCAGGGCGCTGGAGGGGATAGAGATCCCAGATATCCAGACCAAAATGTTCCTGCCCATGAAGAACCTCTCCCACATGTACGTACAGTCCCCTTTGTGCTATTGTTTGTCTAACACTGTCTACTTTCTTCCCTCTGCTAGCACCTCTCTTATTTGTATTTGAACCTTCCTGTCTCCACCAGCTACTTTGAGAAGTTCCAGTACTGCTCCTACGCTCCTCATGTCAGGTCATGTAAGCCCAACACAGATGGCATCTCATCCTTTGAAGACTTGCTGGCTAACATGGTGCTGCGGGTGTCTGTCTGGGTCATGGCATTCATTACCTGCTTCGGTAACCTCTTAGTCATCGGCATGAGGTCACTGATACGAGCCGAGAACAACCTGCATGCTGTCTGCATCAAAGTCCTCTGTTGTGAGTGCTCACACACTATACTCTGTAATGTTATGTGCAATATGATCAAGGTATCATTTAAGGATAGAAAGATAAATATGAACTTAACAAAAACTATACCAAAATGTCCTCAACTTGTCATTGGAAGCTGATTTTTGTTTGGTTTTTTTTTTCAGATTATTTTAGGAGGCTTTTTTTCTATACTTTTATTTTAGTGGATGGTAGAATGGTTGGAAACAGGGATGAAAAAAAAAAGAAAAAAAAAAGAGGGGAATGACATGCAGTGCAGTGGGCCGGAGGCAAACCCCAGCCGCTTGCTTTGAGGACCATAGCTAGACCATGTGTGACCGCTGGGCTATCTGGCTTCTTATCTAATGGGTTTTACGGGCAATCAAATGGCTGTTGTTAGAACATATTTGAATCAATTTGGAATTAGGCTCTAGCAAAAGAAAAAGACTTTTTGGAGCTGTTAATGGTATAATCTGTTACATTATAGTCAAGCCTGGGAATAACAAATGGACATACTGCATTAGGATATCCAGGCCTGGCTATGTAAGTAGCCTGTTGCTCATAATATGCAGTGAATAGAGGCAGTTGCTGGGATTTGCTAACATAAGATTTCAATTTTGATACTAAAAAGAAAATTGCACTAACACGGCGGGCTAAATTCAAGACGTGAGAAAAACCTCCAATACCAGAAGTCCTGTAAAATATTAATATAAACTTGAAATGTCTTACATAACAAAAGAAAAATGGATGATCAAAGGCTAAGATCTTTGGCACTAAATCTGACATGTGAGCTGAAGCAGTGCCTATCACTGGAATAAATACTTCTCTTCTATCATCTGAATGAATAGAAATAGAAATTTGAAATGAAATTTTATACAGTATGAGGACATGTGTTAGTAAAGTAAATCATCTTGTTTTAATAGAGTAGTTTAAAATCATTGGTCATGTGGACAATGTGGATAATAAAAACACTGAACAGCAGGTCAACAGCTGTGTTCTGGAGAGAGTTTTAGTGGCATTAGCGGTTCATATTATTTTGCATAAATTGAAAAAGCATCCAGATCAGATCAATAACATTTTAGCGGCGCCATAGCGGCGTCGTTATTCTTACAATGAATTTTTCATCAGTCTGAACACGTTTATGTCACCTGTGTAAACTGTATATATTTGAAAAAAGTATAAAGTGGAACACATCTGATAATAAAGATGTAACATCAGACAGAACACTCAAACGATCCAGCAGTCAAACAAATGCAGGCCAATTATTTGCATGTAAAACCCCCAAAACCTGAGTGAGATGCTTCGTTTCATTTGATAATATGTGTGAGATTGATCTCCATATTTAAAAATTCAGCTTCAAAGAGGAGATGTTGAACCTCAAAGCAACCACATCGATTTACATTTTGGCTTATCTAGGTCGTTGTTCACAATTTGTTTATTTTCTACTTTTTTTATCTTCTTAGTTTGTATTGCTTTGGGGTACCAGCAGGTGATGAGTGAACGCCTCACTCATCACCTCTCTCTGTTAATGTCACTATCATCTCTTATCGTTCAGGTGCAGACTGCCTCATGGGTGTGTATCTCTTCTTCGTGGGAGTGTTTGATGTGAAGTTCCGGGGGCAGTACAATCGTAACGCTCTGCTGTGGATGGAGAGCATGGAGTGTCGGACCATTGGATTCCTGGCCATGCTATCATCAGAGGTAATTACTATCGATTAACATCCACACATACACACCAGTATTTATACAGACAGATAAGCTGTTGGTGTTTGGTGAAACCTGAGGACACAATGAAGTGTGCGCTTCATTTCACATCCGAGATGTATCTTTTTGTTTTTAAGCTTCCACACTCGGATTCTGCTAAAGCTGCTTCTTCACCTGATCCCCTCTCAGCTGCTGCTTTCAGCCCTTTTCCAGCCTGTTATCCACTTGCTTTGTAATCTCTAATACGAGTTTTCCCTTGGGAGAATTTAATAATCTATTTCTCTTATCGTCAACTGCCTTTAACAGCCTGTTACATGATATGATCTTGTGTGCCTGCAGAAAGTGAACCTTTAGCAGTCAGTGTATTCTAAATTTAACACTGTACACTTCACTTTTCTGTCTGAATGAATCTGTTTACTGGCGTTGTTGCTCTCTGACTGACACAAAGACTGTAGGACTTAATACGAGTTCTATCTTTCTCAAAGATTTAAAATGTGTGAGCTCACTGGGAATATTTTTCTGTATTGTGGCATGAGGTTCTATTAAATAAAATAGCAGACTGCAGTGTCTACATGTATGTGACTGATAGTAGACTCACAGAATCTTGTGCAACATTGATGAAGAAAACGGTTTCTAAAACTCCCACAAGTTCCTGGAACAAGTGACAAAAGTGAAACAGACTATTGTGACTGGATTTGTTTAAATGTTGTTTTTTTTTCATTAAGGTGTCTGTCCTTCTTCTGACCTACCTGACTCTGGAGAAGTTTCTGGTCATTGTTTTTCCCTTCAGCAATCTGCGCCCAGGCAAACTTCAGACTGGGGTGAGCTACACTGTTAGGAGAGCAAAGAAAGATTCTGCTGAATCATTTATTTTTGTCATTCATTAGATTCATTTGAATTTGCAATTTTATTCAGGGACTCTCTCGAACAATCTCTGATTTTTCTTACTTCCTTTTCAGTTGTTAATAATCATAAGACGACATAGTGTGAACACATTGGACATTATTGTGTTTTTTCTTTACAAAGCAGCTGCATAATGCATTTCATGTTTTGCACAACACTCAGTCATTGTATAAAGTAGGAAGACTCTTTGTCCTTTGCTTTAGCCATATTTAAAAATAGACACAATAAATTAAATTACAGCAAGGTAGAGCCATGAATGTGTTCAATGTTCGAAGGTTAAACATTTTAGCTTTGCAAATAAAACCACAAAAACCCGCACCCTCTCCAGTAGCCTTGTGTACAAAAACATCTAATTAGGGATTCTCAATATAGATCGAGATCAAAGATCAGAAAAGACTCATCAAACAAGTGATTATATTTTGACATTTGCACCTTTTAGTAAACAACACATCTCAGAGTATTTCTTCCCTTGACTAGAGTTCAGCTCAACTTCTTAAAAGTGATGTGTTGAAAAACTTGACTAACAGCAGCACCATACAATAAAAAAGAAAAGAAATGTAATATATTTGGCAGAACTTCCCAATCTCTGCCCAGAAACATCCAAATCAGATACATGGAGCTGTGAACTCTGCACTTCTGACCTTCTCACTATTATTCTGCTGATAAACTCTTGCCAAGGCCTCTTGCTGACACAGGACCCTCTATAACATTGACCTTTTCTTTAACATCTAATAGTTATGTTTTTTGGTTTTTTTTTGAAGGATTCATTAGTACTAAATAAACACTTAGTGTAAGCTGTGTTGAAGTAAATGACACTGAACGAGTGAAAATCAAATGACTTTCACTTTGGGCAAGGGAAAATGCTTTTCCAGAAATCCTAAGCTGCATGTTTCTTGTCCTGCTGTCAGGTGGTCCTGGCCTCTATCTGGCTGCTCGGGTTCATTATTGCTGCTGTGCCCCTCATGAACGAAGACTTGTTTGGAAACTACTACGGCCGAAATGGAGTGTGCTTTCCTCTGCACTCTGACAGGCAGGAAAAAGCTACCGCCAGAGGATATTCAACAGGGATTTTTCTGGGTAAATTAAATATAAAAACTCTTGCAAAGGCATATTTCCGTGAAAACTGCTTTAAGCAACAAACTAAAAATATGTCATCTAAATGCAAACTCAGATGAGCGTCTCTGATACATCAAAAGATATAACCTTGCCTAAATGAACACAGATTGCAAGATAGTGCTTCTGTTCTTTTCATTTAAAAGGGTATTGAGGATGAGCTTAACTTTCCTTATTGGGGGAAATATACTCGTTACAGCAGCTCAGGAAAACGTTTGCACTTTGCAGAGTTTGCAGAGTACAGTTGTTAAAAAACAACAGGTATAACATAATAAACAATAAATGTGGTACTATTAATGATAATAATCAAATAGCCATATACACCATACACACCTTTTACTTATTTAGATACACAGACATAAGTGCAAATGACTTTTGCTTCTTCTACCACTGCCTCTAAGAGTGTGAATAGCATGTTCATTTCTTTAGGGCTAAACCTGGTGGCATTCCTGGTGATCGTCTTCTCCTACTCCAGCATGTTCTACTCCATCTATAAAACCGGCATCAACGCCACAGACCTGAGGAGCAGACTGCACAGAGACGTGGCCGTGGCCAACAGGTTTTTCTTCATAGTATTCTCTGACGCCCTCTGCTGGATTCCCATATTTTTGGTGAAAGTCCTCTCATTATTGGAGGTGGAGATACCTGGTGAGGAGAAAATGAAGTATTAGTAGGTTCGAACCCTTACTACCGCAAAACTTAATGAAATAGACTAACTGAATTAATAGCCTAGGCTTTGTGAGAGAAATGTCTTCCAAAAATAAGAGAATTGCTAGTTCTCAAAAGAAATATGAACATGATGTGATATGATTCAGGAAACCTTTAAGACGTGATCGCGGAGAAAAAAACATTGGCCATGTTTTCCCTCCTGACAGTCAGCTTACACTGCTTCTTAAATACAGAAAACCCTACTAAAGTCCGAATCAAAAAATATTAACAACAATAGAACTAAACATCAACAGCAAAACATCATGCTTAAAGGCAATCACACCTCTCTTAAAGACGGTAATCAGCAGTTAGTAGGTGATAAAGAGGATAATTCAGGAAAGCATCATCTGCTCTTAATTACTCCTCTTACAAAAATGTATTTGTCAAAATTCCCTTACATTCCTCTCTTTTGACACAAAGTGGGATCACAGTTTTGGAAAACTTACAGAGGTTACTTAATGAATTTCTACAAAGTTTTATAAAACTACGATCAAAACACAACACGAGTTAAGATATTACATTGGTGATATTCAAGTTGTCAGGGATGAAGGTAACACATGTTCGCCTTTTAAGTTAAATAAAACCATCAGACAACACATCAGCATTAAGTCCCCAAGGTTTTCAATCATTATGCTAACAATTGTCTCTTCTACCTGGTTGGCTGCTCTATTTTAATGTCGTCTTTTTCTGGGGTCTCCTGACCCTGCGGGGTTAGCATGCCAGTGCCACTTCTGCCCTCTGAATCTCCTTGCGCCCTTGATGATAACAGTTTTTCACCACGATGTTATAGTGATATTCCTCCTTCACAACCCTTTGATTAAACCGTCTTCTTTCTGGTGAAAGAGGCACCAGACCTACAGTATCAAATGACCCTGCCTTGATTTGGGACAGGCGTCAAGACGAGACAGGCCTTTAGTTATTTTAAAACAAAACTTGTGCGTAGCAAAGATGGGAAAGACTATAAAATTGTAAATTTACAACAGAAAGAATATCTAACTGTGGAAACGATAAGGATATAAACAAATTAAATTACAAATCACTTATTTGATCTTGCTTTGTAAGACAGCCCATCCAACCTGCTTCACTGCATGGGAGAGAGGGAGACACCCTTGTTTATATGTTTTTAAATTGCAAACTAATCATCACTTAAAACATAGGGGCCTCTCAATGAGGCCTGCCTGTATTTGTGAAAACGTAAAGCAGCACCAGTTTTAATGTATAAGGAAAAGCAGAATAAAAACAACCACATATCTCTTCACATCCAAATATGGACTTTTCTCCTTCTCTCTTTCAGGCACCATCTCCAGCTGGGTTGTCATTTTCATCCTTCCCATTAACAGCGCTTTGAACCCCATCCTGTACACGTTGACGACCAGCTTCTTCAGAGAGCAGGTGGAACTCTTACTCTGTCGTTGGCAGAGGAGACACAACTTGAAAAAAGACCGTAAAAGCCTCACCTCCTCCACCATCTTCATGGAGACACAGAGGGCTCCTTCATACCAGCCGTCAGCCTACATCCAGCAGGCATCACTGACCGGGCCAGACCCTCGTTACGCCTGAGGGAGGAAGGAACTTTACCTGGCAAACAAACGGGTCAGGCACCGACAGCTGGAGGCCTTTTAACATGTTCAAATGAGACAGGACTGTGTGTTAAGAAGTTTACACTTTTATCATCCCACAAATAAAAACAGTGATCACCTTGGGGGTCTTGCTCAAAGTCAAATAAACTTGTGGACACAATGAGCACAGGATCGAAGCCCCAGCCTCATGATTGGTGGAAGACTCTTTGCACTTCTTCAGCTACAGTCTCCCCTGATGTGATGCTAAACAGACTGCACTAAGGAATGCAAAAAAAAGAAAAGAAATAAGACTTGCACTTCATAAAAGCAGAAATCAAGTATATACTATGTAAATATCTCTCTGAGTCATGACTGTCTGCAATGAGTGAGAAGCGTGAGTCCTGATGGCTGTGTTGTTGACAGAGCCGTGTTTACATCATATTTACATGGTCGAGGTGGCCAGCTCCTCCCCCTGCGTATAAAAGCTGTTTTAGTCAAGGACTAGAGAAAAGAATAACATACTCACTGCGCTTATTTGAATGTCACATAAGCATATTTTAGATCTCGGTCATTCAGAGTATATTTACATGCAATGTGAAATTACAAGCTTACTAAAGTGGGCTAACATTAGCTGCTAACACAACAATGCAGGCCACAGGCAATTGCAGCTCGAGCCAAGGACTATTTTATCCGCTGCTCGTGCTTGACTCCTTCATGCTGTTGCTCAAGGGCGACATCTACTGGATCAAAAAGTCTCTCATTCTTCCTTTAACAATTGTATTTGCTTTCATTGAATGCCCACAAAAAACAAATTAATATTTCAATTTAAGTGCCAAAATCCTTCTGTACACCTGCTCTTAATAGACTTCACTATCAACAATCACTGAATGTTTTACATGAGTTATGTGTGGAAATTGATGCCATGCCATGTTTTTTAGGTTTTTCATATCATGGCATTACCGGTAATTAAAATTGTACTCAATTGTCTGGTAGAAGACATCAATTCTTCTGCATGTGCTCCTACTATTTTTTATCTGAGCCTGTATGATAAATCATCTTGTTACTGAAAAGGTGCTCTATATAAAGCATTGATTGTTTTGTTGTCACTGACGACATATGGACTGTCATTTTCTATTTATACTTTTTGATACTGATGTATTATATTCTTCTTTTGCTGCCTTTGACCCAAAGTGAACGACAATCATCAATACTTGCATAGTGATGGAAAAAGAGAAGGTTGGACAGTTAAACGTTTGTACAAAAAAGTATTCCAAGCAGTGAAGCCCCCTGGGGATGAACAAAGAACCACGAGTCCCTATTATGCCTTAAAGATGTCCTTTAGTTTTTTTTCAAAATAATATTTGGTGCAGAGGACTGGTGTGTTTATTTGTTTCTCCCGAGATTACTGATAAATTGAAATAAAAAAGTACCTTTAAATGTACAAAGCTGGCTATTCAAAGGCAGCATTTGTCTCAGCACACACATAAACACACAGTAAACAGTTATTTTCTCCAAAAAAAAACAGCACTGAAGACCGTCCCCCCGCTCCTGTCTCCCTCTTTTCACCATTAAGAAAATAAAGAAAAAATAATCTGACTTGGTCTCTGAGTTTTCTATTTATACTCTTGTCTTAATTGACTTCTATCACTGTGCAGGGCTGCAACATCTATTTGATGCAGAGCTTAACATTTTAGCATTCAACCCTTTATTTCCAAAGAGCTATCATAACCTTATCAGCGTACTTAGTTTAGGCTACTTAACACTGCCATATGATCATTTGAACATGGTGAATACAAATATTTTCATGCAGTATACTCTCAATGGATTATAATTTACTATGCAATTTTACAAGGTTCCTGATCAGAATCAGAATCAGAATAGTTTTTTTATTGCCAAGTACATTTACACATACAAGGAATTTGTCATGTTGTTTTGGTTAACAAGGGAAATAAAGCAAAAAAGCAAATTATAAGTGAATACAAATATATATAATAGAGTATAAGAAATATAAAGAGTTGCCTTTCAGGGGATTTAGGGGTTTAAAAATGCAAGCAAGGTCACTGCTTGGGACAGAAACGTTGACGTTGCGGTTAAAAGGCATGCGCAATAGCATCCTCCAGCTTTTTTAATGAGATATTTTTGAATAAATGAATGCTGATGACAAGCCGACTGTTTGTGCAGCTGCTTGGGGGTAAACATGCATAATTGTAATGCTGCAACGTGTCTTTCATTTTCTTCCACAGCTCTTTCAACACACTTGATTTGACCGCACCTGCGGCGCTCAGCATCCTTCCCATAGCAGGTGTCCTGCCCTTGGACCGAGGTGCGCCCCTAGCGACCACGATGATAGACACGGCCACTGACCAACAGGAAACGTGCTTTGCCTCAGTTTCCCAGAACGTCGTCATTTGATTGGTTTCTAAGGGCGGGGCGCTGTCATCCCGAGGAGTAGGGCTGTCAGCCGGGGCGGCACGACTCCTGGAGGAGAGAGACGAGACGGATTGATGAAAACAAGTCATTAAATCACATAAAAACAAAGGACCCGATCCTGGAAATGAGCCTGTAGTCACCAAGGTCGACGCGGAAAAGGTACCGTTGAGATTATAGTCGTATCACATCTGTTTTTTTTAATGTTGTTTAGCGGTTCTGTGTGGACTACAAAGGCAGCCGTGCAATGTCTTGATGTACCATCGATATTACTACCACAGGGGCTCCTACTAGCTGGTTGGCTACCGAGTTAGCCCCAGACATGGCTGGTTATAGTGGACGATACCCGTTAAATGAAAGAAAATGTGACTAGCATGGAGACGAGTCCACGTTTCCCCCGGTTTCACTCAGACGACGAACAAATGCCGCTTCGCTTTGTGAGGCAAAAAAGCAACAGTCTTTATGTTGGATGTAAAAACTCAACTCGTGATGGCGGTAAACGATAATTTGCTACACACTGCTTGTTAGCCACCAGCTAGGTAGCTTTTACATTAATGACACACCAGCTAAGTCACCAATGCTAAGCTGCTGACGATTGGGAGCATAAATATAAACATCTCGTTACTGTCTGATATCCTGTTTGAACCCTTTGGAGCCTCACTGATGTGACGTATTTCTTTATTGTGAGGATGATTACACTGTTATTTATTTTTTTGTATTTTTTTTTTGGGGGGGGGGGTTGTGGGTAAAAATAAGAGCCCTCAAATTGTGAAACTTAAATTGCTTTGGGTCTAGTGGCTGTGCACTTTATTATTCTACAGCAGAGATGAACATTTTGTGAGAGAAAGCCAGTATTGCTGCATGTATTATTCACACACTCATACACATACAGCCAGATAGCAGACACCCACTGGTGGTCCTTCATTTCTATTCATCATGCAAAGTGGATCTATATATATAGTTTTATTGTGTTGATGATATATGTTTTGTTGACAGGGTTAACATGTATTCTCATTTTGCTTGACAACTAGTTTGTCTCCCTTAGACTGGTCTGGCATCTCCCTCTTTATTCATCACCCCCCCTCCTCCTCCTCCTCCTTCCTAATGACTCAATCACAGTCCCTCTCCATCTCTCCAGCTGTTTGGCACAGCCAGTCGGCAACGGCGACCCAGTTAACTGCATTGTTCTGTGTCTGGACTTATACGCTACAAGTAACACGCACAGTCAGCCTATCATGTGTGTCACAGCACTTTGCTACTATGCATCCCCCCCCCCACACAGTCTTTCATATTTGTACCCACTTTAAAAAAAACATTTCTAGGGGTGGTATCCCCTTATTTTCCCCTTTTTCAGTCTAAATAAAGATACTGCCAAATATACAGACAGGTTAATTCTATGAAGTAGTCACAGGATAATTTGAAGAGATGTAATCACAACAAGAATTCAACAGAGCCCTGCATGGTAATTTTAAAGCACTTCAAAGGAATTAGGATTTTCTACTAAATTAAATGGAGTAATCTTTCCTAATCAGATGAATGTATGCATGTGGAGGCGAGTTGCACTGAATCGACAAATATCACACCGCGATTATTTCATTAGACATAACACTAATGATAAGATAAATGGGACAAACATTTTTTTTGCGTCACCATTCTTATTTCACAAAAAAAAAAAAAAAAAAAACCTGACATTTTTGGGGGCCTTCACTCAACATGCATTCAGACATTTGGAGATCCAGAATAGTAGGCAAGATCATCTAAGCAACACTATGCCTTTCATCAAACTTATTTAACTGACTTTTTTTAAAATATGCACTTGGCAAACTTCACATACGCAAACTTCAAATTAGTTTTGACTGCCATTTATTGGGAGTGATTTTTAAAGGTTCAGACTATTTTTAAGGATTTCAGAAATCCCTGTTGTAATGACGAATAAAGAGTTATTGTAGTACTACAGAGAGGGACCTTCTTAATATGTGCGCCTTACATTTAGTCTGTTTCATCATTTGAAATGGTTGAGCTTTCCCAAGCTGGACATGCATTTGTTTATTGTCTGTTTAATCCCCCAGCGTTTATGTTTTAGAAATTGACATGAGACATCTGATTTGAAGAGGTCTTCTGGATGAATTATGAAAAGTGTCTCCAGCTGTACAGTTACAGGTCTCAGCTGTATTGTTACAGGTCTAGTGCAATGTTCAAGACCGCTCTTGACATAATCTAATCTGTAACATAGATTAATCTACACATCATCTCCTTCTGTTGTATTCAATTATATCTTGTGATATCAAGATAATTTATTTGACTACATTTGCACAATCAATTTGCAAATCTACACCTTTGATGTTACAGTGCACCATTTAAACTTTTGTGCATGAAAAACATTTCCAACCATTAATCATGGATTATTATAATACAGGAGCTTATTTATACCTTTTTTGTGGCATTTTCTGCTGTGGTTAGCAGTGGCGGTTAATGACAGGAAACAGGGGGACAGAGGGAGGAAGTATAATGTGACAAACATGTTTAGGTCAAGCCAGGGGAACTGTGGTTTCATGTGTTGTTGTTAGTGTGTGTCACAGTGCAAGTTCACGGTCTGTTATTTTTTTTACCCAGTGACACAGTGCTCTATTTTTGCTCTATTTTTGCTCTCTTGCTCAGTGACATGCGCACAAGGCCACTGATTACTTAGTCTGCTGTGAAGATGTTATTGAGCCTCATCCACATGTTGGAGAGCAGCAGAAACCGTGTAACCTCCCACACTCCCTATTCAACCTCAGTCAGCTTGAGAGTTATCAATCCTTCCTCTCTGTCATCATCTCCACCTGGGCTGGAACCTAAAACCTCCATTGCATAACCTGGTGTTTCTGCCAGGCACACACAAGTCCATGCATACACAAAAACATTGGCGCACGCACGCACGCACGCACGCGCGCACAC